ACCTCCATAACTTGCTACATTTGCACACACTGTATATATATTTTCTGTGGTATTTTTGACTTTATGTTTTGTTTTACCCCATATGTAACTCTGTGTTGTTGTTTTTATCACACTGCTTTGCTTTATCTTGGCCAGGTCGCAGTTGTAAATGTGAACTTGTTCTCAACTGGCTTACCTGGTTAAATAAAGGTGGGGGAAAAAAATAATAAAAAAAATGTATCTGCTGATGACGGATCCATATCAGTCATCGGCAGAGATCAACATCAATCTGACTAAAGTTAAATGTAACAACATGTTATTCCTCAGTAGTAACATGTTGTTACTATTTAACTTATCTCGGTTACCCAGAAGTCAAATTCTCTGAATCTTTCCACAAGAGATGTATTTATTTAGCCGACTTAAACGATAAAACAGCAATGTCAGGCAGCAATACGAGAGGAGTGGACCATATCTGAATGATGAGCCCCTACAGAGGGATTTTGTTAAGCCGTGATTTAAAGTGTTTAGGTTTCAGTGGTAGCCTGTATTAACTTAATATAGTTTACATTTTGATCGCTTGAAAAAAGTAAAAGAAAACTTGGCGATTACGAGTTGGAAAGGCATCAAAGCCTATCGAAGTCACCTTTCTGTTTATTTTTTACAACCCTGGAGGTATTTAGCGAGACGCTGGATTCCATGCTGAGATAAACGATAGATGGCTTCAAGACAAACAGCAGACGATTAGTGGACAATGTGGAGACATGGGGTTCGTTACAAATGGCACCCTATTCCCTATATACAGCAGTGTACTACTTTTTTACTGGAGCCCTATGGGCCTTGGTCAAAGGTAGTGTACAATATAGTTGATAGGGTGCCATTTGGGATGGAGACGTGAGAGGCTAGGGGCTAATGTTAATACTAATCTGGGGGGGAGGAGAGAGACAGACTGGGTCATAAAGTGCTGGAGTATGATCTTCTACTCGGGGAGCTGTCGTCAGACTGTCTGTGGAGTATGATCTTCTACTCGGGGAGCTGTCGTCAGACTGTCTGTGGAGTATGATCTTCTACTCGGGGAGCTGTCGTCAGACTGTCTGTGGAGTATGATCTTCTACTCGGGGAGCTGTCGTCAGACTGTCTGTGGAGTATGATCTTCTACTCGGGAGCTGTCGTCAGACTGTCTGTGGAGTATGATCTTCTACTCGGGGAGCTGTCGTCAGACTGTCTGTGGAGTATGATCTTCTACTGGGAGCTGTCGTCAGACTGTCTGTGGAGTATGATCTTCTACTCGGGGAGCTGTCGTCAGACTGTCTGTGGAGTATGATCTTCTACTCGGAGCTGTCGTCAGACTGTCTGTGGAGTATGATCTTCTACTCGGGGAGCTGTCCCAGACTGTCTGTGGAGTATGATCTTCTACTCGGGGGCGTCGTCAACTGTCGTGGGTAGATTTCTACTCAGGGAGCTGTCACCAGACTGTCTGTGGAGTATGATCTTCTACTCAGGGAGCTGTCACCAGACTGTCTGTGGAGTATGATCTTCTACTCGGGAGCTGTCGTCAGACTGTCTGTGGAGTATGATCTTCTACTCGGGAGCTGTCGCAGACTGTCTGTGGAGTATGATCTTCTACTCGGGGAGCTGTCACCAGACTGTCTGTGGAGTATGATCTTCTACTCGGGGAGCTGTCGTCAGACTGTCTGTGGAGTATGATTTTCTACTCAGGGAGCTGTCACCAGACTGTCTGTGGAGTATGATCTTCTACTCAGGGAGCTGTCACCAGACTGTCTGTGGAGTATGATCATCTACTCAGGGAGCTGTCACCAGACTGTCTGTGGAGTATGATCTTCTACTCAGGGAGCTGTCCCAGACTGTCTGTGGGTATGATCTCTCTACTTCCACGTCGGGAGCTCTCTCAGATCACAACTGTCTGTGGAGTATGATCATCTACTCAGGGAGCTGTCCCAGACTGTCTGTGGGTATATCATCTACTCAGGGAGCTGTCACCAGACCGTCTGGAGTTGATCTTCTACTCGGTGAGCTTCTCCATCTGTCTGTGGAGTGATCTCTTCTACTCGGGAGCGTCCCGCTCTGTCCTCCCCCCCTTTTCTCTTGTCTCCTACCTCTGAGGTGCTCTCGTCCCACCTGCTCTTCGTCGGTCTGCTCTTCTCTCATCTGTCTCCATCCCACTCTCTCTACTCTACTCTCTCTCATCTCTCATCATCTCGTCCTCAACCCTCTCTCATCGCATCACTCTCTCAACCGTACCTACGTTCGTCTTCCCCCCTTTCTCTCTGTCTCTACCTCTGAGTGTGTGTCTCTGTCCCTAATCTCTCTCGTCTCTTTACCCTCCTCTCTACTCGCTCTCTTCTCTCTCTCCATCTCTCTCTCTCTCTCTCCGCCTCTCTCTCTCCTCCTCCTCCCTCTCTCCTCCTATTGGGCACTTTCCTATCATTTATGTGATGAGTAGAATGTCCTGGTGGCTTCAGCCTATTAACAGCTGAAACACTGAATGCTGTACAGAAGCACCTTGTGACAGTTAGCAGAAACTTTGTATGCGTTGCTGTTCTTTTGCGCACCATTTCACAACTACAGTTTAGATTGACAAGGTGAATGTTCTATTAATTCTGATCACGCGTGGTCTTCCATTTTGATGAATGGTTGCCGTAGCAACCTGCGGTGAAAAGGAAAAAATAAAGTGTTGGTAGATCTGATGCAGAATGCAGAACCTTCAGTTCATCTGAGGTACTCACTCTTCCCTGCTCTTCCTTCACTGCAATTAGAGCAGAACTAGAAAGACAATGGAGAAAGAGAAAGAGAAAGAGGGGGGGAGAGAGAGAGATCTGTTTGTCTATCACTTTCTCTTGTCTCCTCTCTTCTCAGACTCGGAGAGGCGAGGCGACTCTCTCTGTCTCCCATGGCACAGCTCTGTGGATAAGAAGCTGGGGTGAGAGTTTTCCACTGACCCAGTGAGAGAGAGAGAAAGAGAGAGAGAGAGAGAGAGAGAGAGAGAGAGAGAAGAGAGAGAGAGAGAGAGAGAGAGAGATAGGAGCGATAGAGAGAGAGATGGAGAGGATATGAGAGAGAGCAGACTCATACTGCGAATATTCTATCGTCTGCTCTGCTCTCATCGAGAGCTTGATCGAGCTCTCCTTGAAAACCTGTCTGTCTGAGGCGGTCTGCTTACTTCAAGCCTCCATTTGGATACCCTCAGGAGACAGGATGAACGAGGGGGGGAATTAAGGGTAACACTGTTTTCCTCCCTACAAGGGTTCCACTCTTCTCATGTGTCGTCCAGGAGTCAGGGGGAACTCAGTTCTAGACAACAGACACAGAGGAAAATTAGCAGAGAGAACAGACATCTTTTCGTTTGTTTATTTGTCCCTTTTTACTTATTTGGTTCATTGTTTGGGGTTCTATGGTTCTTTGACTCTGTCTTTAGTTGTGTTGTCAATATTCTATAGATTTTCTGCAGGTTTGAGTTAGTAGCTGTAGTCAGTAGGCTATACTCTATTGTTCTCTTTTTGTTGTTAGAATTGAACTAGCAGGGTGTGACTACATCAGCCTACCCTTCATTCTGGCCCTAAATGATGGATTCTGGATAACAAAAATACCCCCCGGACATTTTTAGATAGGGAGAAACCTTAATAACAGGAAGGAACACCATTTCTAACTGGCAACTGGAACACACATTGATGTTAACCATGGGTTTATCCTTGACGCTAAATTGAATGGAACGGGCAGACTTGGCTACCTGGTTTCACTATGAAAACAAACACTGGAGTTGAAACTAGATTGGATGTTTAAAGTTGATAAATGCTTCTTTCCACTGCGCCAAGAAAACATCAAGCTCAACATTAGGCTCAATTTCACCTATTAACAATCCCAATCAAATCAAGGCGAGAATTCCTATTGAGAAATTCCATATCCAGTTCAACGAAGGAATTGTCAGGACTTGACCTCAACTGGCATGACTCACTCTATGGGAGCCAACCAGGCAAGAAGTATGTGTTTCTCTTTATCATTTACAAACCACATACCAATTACACGTGTGAACAAGTGATTTCGAACCTTTGTCTCCTGTGATTCACAAGACTGTGTTGGCCCGCAGAACTAAAGCCTATGTACTGTACGTTTTCACGTCTCAGTGAGTCATCGCAAGTCTTCAGGTCTCAAGGTTGTTCTTCAAGGGAGCGTGCGAGAGTGGGTTGACGAAACCACCTCCGTTAAACGATTTTAATAGGCTGCTGTTGAAACGTCCAGTACCTTGAAGTGTCCCAGTGGTTACTGTAAAGCTGATGTTATTCCTCTGGATTTCTAGCATGAGGTTTGCCTCAATCCATGACTGATCCAGAGCATGGTGTAAGGAGAACCCCTGCGGTTGGTTTTTATTACCTTGTGGGTTACCATATGTCTGTGCTTTCATTTCTGTCCAACCTTGAAAGTATAAACTCTAAGATGTTATTCTCAGTTAATCTTAAGGAGCGTTACTGTTATGAGTGTAGTCAAGCATGCCACTTAAGGTCCATGTCAGGGTTGTTCTGGTTTGTTTCCTATAGTGAGTGGTGTTGGCACTTCTATTATACTATTTTGATCATTTAGCAGATGTTCTTATCCAGAGCGACTTACAGTAATGAATGCATACATTTTTCGTACTTTTTTTCTTCTCATACTGGTCCCCCGTGGGAATCAAACTCAAAACCCTGACGTTGCAAGCGCCATGCTAAACCAGCTGAGCCGCACGGGACCCTTCAACTCATGGTAACTCACACTATCATGGTAAGAATCAGTAAAGATGACTTTGAAGCTGATCTTTGCAAACTGTATAGCCTTTTGGCGTTTCAACGGGTCACACGTAAACTGTCCTCTGAGTAGGTAAACAATAGATCAAACATCCACATGTATTTTCCCAGTCGATCGTTTGCTGAAGACGTCCTCGTACAACGGGAGAGTTGGAGACGTGTTTTACGAGGTAAGTCAGTCAGGTTGCTGCCAGGTGTTGGGAGATCATTGGAAATCCAGATGTCTCCATGGCGTGCCTCGGTGCCGTGGTTCAGAAGGTCTTTGAGCTGATATACACCAGGACAGGTTAGAGACTGCCTGCCGCGTGCGTGCGTGTGTGTGTGTGTGTGTGTGAGGTTAGAAACTGCCTGGCCTGCCATGTCTCCCCTGCCCACCCGTTCCAAGTGGAGTGTGTCAGAGAAAACTGCAGTGTCATGACTACTACATCTCCAATGGTGGACTGGTCTTCATTGTGGGTAATGTCCATGTTACACTCATATTCCCTGGCACTAATACAGAAGCCAAGAGTCTTACCACAAGTAAACAAACAAGGGTACTTTCCTGACGCAGGTGAAGGCTACTGGACTAAAAGCCATGCTCATTCTATCTACGAACAAACGCTCCTAAACACAACTGCTTCCCTTTTATTTAATCACTGGTATCCCACTAGAATGACTGTGTGTGTGTGTGTGTGTGTGTGTGTGTGTGTGTGTGTGTGTGTGTGTGTGTGTGTGTGTGTGTGTGTGTCCCAATCATTCCCACATTCCTGGAGATGACAAGGCCGTCGGTATGTGTGTCTGAGTCCCATTATCCTGTAGCTTTAAAATCCCTGGAAGGAATTACATGTTTTTCTGATGGTCAATTCAGCCCAACAACCCCAATAACAACTTCCCCTCAACCTCCTCCCTCTGTCCGACTTTAAGTGTGCAGCACATGTGTTGAGCACACACCCAGCTCTCAGTTTTTGATCTGCTCTGAAGATCTTAAATAAATGTTTGTAATGATCCTGCGTCATTCACACACCACAGCACACACATGCAGGACGTCTCAACACTCTGAACCCTGACCTTAAATAAGGCTATATGGAGTCTCAGAGTGAAAAAGGAGAACATTGGAACATTGAGAAACTGTCTCTGGAATTGATTAGGCAGATTAGTAGAACATTGAATTGGGCTTAACTCCACAGATACTTAATTGATGCTCGCGGGCATACAGGGAAGTAGTCAGATCCCAAGAAATTCCTGGGTGGCCAAAGTCATGCCAAAAGGCTTAATGTAGGACTCCTGCTCTGTATAGAGAACTTTGTGTCTGCATAGAGAACCTTGTGGCTGTATAGAGAACCTTGTGTCTGTACAGAGAACCTTGTTTCTGTACAGATAACCTTGTTTCTGTACAGAGAACCTTGTTTCTGTACAGAGAACCTTGTGTCTGTATAGAGAACCTTGTGTCTGTATAGAGAACCTTGTGTCTGTACAGAGAACCTTGTTTCTGTACAGAGAACCTTGTTTCTGTACAGAGAACCTTGTGTCTGTATAGAGAACCTTGTGTCTGTATAGAGAACCTTGTGTCTGTATAGAGAACCTTTTGTCTGTATAGAGAACCTTGTGTCTGTATAGAGAACCTTGTGTCTGTATAGAAAACCTTGTGTCTGTATAGAGAGCGGTAATCACCTTTGTCTTGACCAAGAGACCCCTGACCATTTAAATCTTCAGCCTCTCAGAGAATAAGAGTCTTGTCAAATTTAAGATTGAAACTAAATCCAACCGGGTCGTTGCCCCAGGGCACTGACCAATCACATGCAATCAGAACAGGTTAAGTTTCTTCTGCCGCGTAGGAAATGCACAATTGGCCCACTTAGTGGAATTATGTCCATACTGATCAAGGGGTTTATTGATCAACAATTATATTGATTGTCAGAGTGGGGAAATAAACAGACTTGTGCAAGAACAGGCCAACCACAGTTTTTTGATATTCCAACTCTAAAATACTAACTTTGTCTCTATGTGCGAGTTTTAGTCTGGCTAAAAGTGATTTTACTGTCTATTCAGCGTCTTTCACCCAGTGGTTATTCCTGTATTTGATCATATTACCTCATACTAACTCTGTGATTGACTGTTCTGCAGCCAGAAGGTGATGACTGTGGTTACGTCCCAAATGGCACCCTATTCCCTATACAGTGCACTACTTTAAAACCAGGGTCCTGATCAAAAGTAGTGCACTATAAAGGGAATAAGGTGCCATTTGGGACGCACTCTGTTACTCTCACTGAACTTTCTTATCTTCTAATGGTTGTCATGTCTTTTCCTTTCAATCGGAGACACATTTCCTGGCTACGTCTGTTCAGATCAGACGGTGTGATTCTTTCTGTGAGTTAGTGCCAAATGGAAGAAATCCACGATTCCACCTATAAGCTAAGGATATTCACACAATATTCCCACAATACGTCCAGTGAGCTGTGAGTTATGGGCTGTGAGGGTTCCATAAGACGGCCATAAACGAGTGGTGTCATGCACTCCAGGAGTTTATTTGATAGGCAGTTAAGCCTCGTGTTATCCCTAACCGTAAGAGGTTGTGATGTTTTGAAATGGTTCTGCACGGCAACATATAGGAAACAGAGGATGTCGATATATATCACAGAGACTGATATTATATCATCTAAATGTTATAGTTATGGGAGATGTTATCCACAAATGTACTTTAACCAGCAAATAATACTTATTCAGCCCTATTTCCCAGCCACGTGAATGTCCTTGATGCTACTATAGATATTACATTGTAAAGTAATTGAGGAGAGATCTGGGTTATTTTCCACTACGCTCACTAGTTGATCTGATCGGAACTGTAAAAATAGGCTGATTTATATCTTGCAGTTAGAATGAGGAAATATACAATGAACGGGTCGTCTGTTTTTGAACCTTCATATATGGAGGTAGGCCAATGTCAATGCTGGGTCATTCCCATGTTTCTCCTATTTTCAGGGTAACTTCATTTATAAAAAACACGGTGGATTTGGGTGAATGAAATTGATCTAGAAGGTGCCATGAAATGTGACTGTGTGCATTTACTTGCATGCTGTCACGGATTTAGCCGAGGCTGCTCCTCCTCCTTGCTCGGGCAGGCTTCGGCGTTCGTCGTCACCGGAGTACTAGCTGCTACCGATCTATGTTTCTGTGTTCTACTTGTTTTGTCTTCATTGTACACACCTGGTTCCCATTATGTCTATGATTTGTTCCCTATTTAACCCTCTGGCTCCCACTGTGTTATGTGCCTGTTTGTTCTATGTTTGGTGTCATCGACTGGTGAGCGGGATTGTCCTCCCTGCGTGGAGTTTATGTTCATTTGTTATTTACGAGTAAAGTACGTTGTCTACTAGCTCTGTGTCCTGCGCCTGACTCCGTCTTACCGCTACACACTGACGCCTGACACGTGCGTTTGTGAAATGATGATTAGCTCAGTGCTTTCTGCATTCAATTGTAGTTATTCATAGAGATGACCTCACCAGCCCTCCTAGGATATATGTCTGCTCTGTACGGTACTGTCTCACCTTGTCTTCTCTCTGCTGCTAGACAGGATGTTGGGGGGTCCAAATGGACTGTCTCACCTTGGGTGCTCTCTACTGCTAGACAGGACGTTAGGGGTCCAATTGGACTGTCTCACCTTACTAATAGACAGAATGTTGGGGGTCCAATTGGACTGTCTCACCTTGGGTGCTCTCTACTGCTAGACAGGACGTTGGGGGTCCAAATGGACTGTCTCACCTTACTAATAGACAGGATGTTGGGGAATCCAAATGAACTGTGACACTTAGAGGAGAGATAACGCATGACTTTGAGCTCTGAACGCTTTGTTCTGACAGAGAGCTGAAGGGAGCAGAGTGCCACTAGTTCTGGAATGTGGTTAGAAAGGGTTCTGGAATCCCTGGGTTGGAACTGAGGAATTTCCACGTCTGTCATGGAAGTCTTCTGTGATGGCTGAAGAGGATACTTCATGACTTTATACCGTGCCCGGCTCCTCATCCATCTCCATCGGCAGACAGTGAGCTGTGGTGACAGGCTAGACAGTGTGCAGCACAGAGGCTTTCTGCTAAACTGAAAGAGAAAGGAACCCTAAACCACAACTAACCTAGTCACAGATCAGGGCTAACTGGTGATACCTTTCCATTCCCCTTTGGGTAGCAAAGGTAAAGGTACCATAGATTTGTGGAAGGTACCTAATATGCCTCTACCAACTACATCCCATCTGAAATTGTAACACCTACAGTTGAAGTCGGAAGTTTACATCTTAGCCAAATACATTTAAACTCAGTTTTTCACAATTCCTGACATTTAATCCTAGTAAAAAAATCCCTGTCTTAGGTCAGTTAGGATCACCACTTTATTTTAAGAATGTGAAATGTCAGAATAATAGTAGAGATAATGATTTATTTCAGCTTTTATTTCTTTCATCACATTCCCAGTGGATCAGACGTTTACATACACTCAATTAGTATTTGGTAGCAATGTCCTTAAGCCATTTTGCCACAACTTTGGAGGTATGCTTGGGGTCATTGTCCATTTGGAAGACCCATTTGCGACCAAGCTTTAACTTCCTGACTGATGTCTTGAGATGTTGCTTCAATATATCCGCATCATTTTCCTTCCTCATGATGCCATCTATTTTGTGAAGTGCACCAGTCCCTCCTGCAGCAAAGCACCCCCACAGCATGATGCTGCCTCCCCCGTGCTTCACGGTTGGGATGGTGTTCTTTGGCTTGCAAGCTACCCCCTTTTTCCTCCAAACATAACGATGGTCATTATGGGCAAACAGTTCTATTTTTGTTTCATCAGACCAGAGGACATTTCTCCAAAAAGTACGATCTTTATCCCCATGTGCAGTTGCAAACCGTAGTCTGGCTTTTTTGTGGCGGTTTTGGAGCAGTGGCTTCTTCCTTGCTGAGCGGTCTTTCAGGTTATGTCGATATAGGACTCGTTTTACTGTGGATATAGATACTTTTGTGTCTGTTTCCTCCAGCATCTTCACAAGGTCTTTTGCTGTTGTTCTGGGATTGATTTGCACTTTTCTCACCAAAGTACGTTCATCTCCAGGAGACAGAACGCGTCTCCTTCCTGAGTGGTATGACGGCTGCGTGGTCCCATGGTTTTTATACTTGCGTACTATTGTTTGTACAGATAAACGTGGTACCTTCAGGCGTTTGGAAATTGCTCCCAAGGATGAACCAGACATGTGGAGGTCTACAAATGTTTTTCTGAGGTCTTGGCTGATTTATTGTGATGTTCCCATGATGTCAAGCAAAGAGGCACTGAGTTTGAAGGTAGGCCTTGAAATACATCCACAGGTACACCTCCAATTGACTCAAATGATGTCAATTAGCCTATCAGAAGCTTCTAAAGCCATGTCATAATTTTCTGGAATTTTCCAAGCTTTGAAGGCACAGTCAAGTTAGTGTATGTAAACTTCTGACCCACTGGAATTGTGATACAGTGAATTATAAGTGAAATAATCTGTCTGTAAACAATTGTTGGAAAAATGACTTGTGTCATGCACAAAGTAGATGTCCTAACAGACTTGCCAAAACTATAGTTAGTTAACAAGAAATTGTGGAGTGGTTGAAAATCGAGTTTTAATGACTCTAACCTAAGTGTATGTAAACTTCCGACTTCAACTGTATGTAAGTATTTGGCTTTACTGTCCGAATATTTAGGGAAAACACAGTGTAATAGCTATATGTATGTAGCTGTAGTTTATTTCCACACATATCTCCATTCTTATTAGTTATAAGTTGGATTTCACAGTACTTATCATTAATCCTTTTACGTTGGATTTCACAGTACTTATCCTTAATTATTTTACGTTGGATTTCACAGTACTTATCCTTAATTATTTTCCTACACATCCTTCTCATTAATTTAAGGTTTAGTCTATGGCTGAAACATTTAATTAGACATTTGAGCGGTTCACAAATAATATTATATTAATGATTTATCCTTTTAATATGAAATGTGAAATGTAGACCAGGAGAAAGGGTGACTTGGGAAATAACCATGTTATTTTTGTAAAACATATTTCATGAGACACATGTATCTGATTGCTGATAGCTACCTCAAGAGTGGAACTGACCCAAGGAGGCCCTATCTTGTCTCTAGACTCTTGTCTTTTGTCTCTAGACTCTTGTCTCTAGACTCTTGTCTCTTGTTTCTAGACTCTTGTCTCTAGACACTTGTCTCTAGACTCTTTTCTCTTGTCTCTAGACTCTTGTTTCTAGACTCTTCTCTCTTGTTTCTAGACTCTTCTCTCTTGTCTCTAGACTCTTCTCTCTTGTCTCTAGATTCTTCTCTCTTGTCTCTTGTTTCTAGACTCTTGTCTCTTGTCTCTTCTCTCTTGTCTCTTCTCTCTAGAGAGACTTCTCTCTTGTCTCTAGACTCTTGTCTCTAGACTCTTGTCTCTAGACTCTTCTCTCTTGTCTCTAGATTCTTCTCTCTTGTCTCTTGTTTCTAGACTCTTGTCTCTTGTCTCTTCTCTCTTGTCTCTTCTCTCTAGAGAGACTTCTCTCTTGTCTCTAGACTCGTCTCTAGACTTGTCTCTAGACTCTTGTCTCTAGACTCTTGTCTCTAGACTCTTGTCTTTTGTCTCTTGTTTCTAGACTCTTGTCTCTAGACTCTTGTCTCTAGACTCTTGTCTTTTGTCACTAGACTCTTGTCTCTAGACTATTCTCTCTTGTCTCTAGACTATTCTCTCTTGTCTCTAGACTCTTCTCTCTTGTCTCTAGACTCTTGTCTCTAGACTCTTCTCTCTAGACTCTTCTCTCTTGTCTCTAGACTCTTGTCTCTAGACTCTTCTCCCTTGTCTCTAGACTCTCGTCTCTAGATGATTGTCTCTAGACTCTTCTCTCTTGTTTATAGACTCTTGTCTCTAGACTCTTCTCTCTTGTTTATAGACTCTTGTCTCTAGACTCTTCTCTCTAGACTCTTGTCTTTTGTCACTAGACTCTTCTCTCTAGACTCTTGTCTCTAGACTCTTCTCTCTTGTCTCTAGACTCTTGTCTCTAGATTCTTGTCTCTAGACTCTTCTCTCTTGTCTCTTGTTTCTAGACTCTTGTCTCTAGACTCTTGTCTCTAGACTCGTCTCTAGACTCTTGTCTCTAGACTCGTCTCTAGACTCTTGTTTCTAGACTCTTGTCTCTTGTCTCTTCTCTCTTGTCTCTTCTCTCTAGAGAGACTTCTCTCTTGTCTCTAGACTCTTGTCTCTAGACTCGTCTCTAGACTCTTGTCTCTAGACTCTTGTCTCTAGACTCTTCTCTCTTGTCTCTAGACTCTTGTCTCTAGACTCTTGTCTCTAGACTCTTGTCTCTAGACTCTTCTCTCTTGTCTCTAGACTCTTGTCTCTAGACTCTTGTCTCTAGACTCTTGTCTCTAGACTCTTCTCTCTTGTCTCTAGACTCTTGTCTCTAGACTCTTGTCTCTAGACTCTTGTCTCTAGACTCTTCTCTCTTGTCTCTAGACTCTTGTCTCTAGACTCTTGTCTCTAGACTCTTCTCTCTTGTCTCTAGACTCTTGTCTCTAGACTCTTGTCTCTAGACTCTTGTCTCTAGACTCTTCTCTCTTGTCTCTAGACTCTTGTCTCTAGACTCTTCTCTCTAGACTCTTCTCTCTAGACTCTTGTCTCTAGACTCTTGTCTCTAGACTCGTCTCTAGACTCTTGTCTCTCGACTCTTGACAAAATGTTGGGCCTTTGTGCTGGCTAAGTATAATTAAATTAAGTTGTTTACTTACCATACAGTACATCCTCTCGGCATCCGCTTCCCCCCTTTTAATGATACCACAATGACATAATTTAGGGTTATAGCACTGTAAACATCTACTTTATAGGAGTTGTTTTGGAGTTGAATTGAGCAGCCAGGACTTTTTTTTTGGATTTATCAGAAGAGAGAGAGCACAGAGTGGGAAAGCCAGGCTACAGGGTTAATTTGCAGTGATTGTGCAGGTCATTTTCTGCATGGTTAAACACAAGGTCCCTCGATAGGGTGGAAAGTGCTAGCTGGTGTTGCTCGACCTGTGCATGCTGGATGGAAATGTGTGTGTGTTTGGGGGAGATTGTGTTGCTATGTGTATTGGAATTACACACATTCAAACTGTGTACTTTCCAACTTGAGTATCCAGGCTGATTTCATTGTTGTTTTGACTGAGTGAATGAGCTTTGATTGACAGGTTGTTTATCAATCATGTCAATGTACTCAGACTACAGACTCATGCAATTCCTAGATAGGAATTGCTTTCCTAGATTTGGAAAGCTAAAATAAAAACATCAATTATAATTGTATGTATGTTTGCCAAACTGATCGTTGTGATTAATGCAGTCCAAGAGCTTTAGAGTTAGTTTTTTTATTGCTTGTTTTTGACCTATAGTTGCTCTCTGCCAATGTAATTGATTATGTTACTTCCTCTTAACTCCCTCTCTCTTTCTTTCTCTCTCTCTCTCTCTCTCTCTCTCTCTCTCTCTCTCTCTCTCTCTCTCTCTCTCTCTCTCTCTCTCTCTCTCTCTACATCTCTCTCTCTCCCCCCTCCTCCCCCCTCTGCCGCTCCTTCTCTCCCTTCCTCTCCCCCTCTGCAGACTTGCGTCGGATGAACAGTTCCAGTGTGTTCTGGGACAGAGGTGTGAGTGGAGGTTACCAGGCCCTGCTACTGGATGAGGACCGTGGCTGGCTCCTGGTGGGGGGCAGAGACCACATCTACCTTCTCCACTCTGACAGCCTGGCTCTTCCTACACGCACGGTACGGACAGCACCCTAAATGTATAGCTAAGGCCAGCACCATAGCATACCATGACTCTGTTTTGAATCAGTCAAGGCTCCTTCCCAACTGTGTTCTCTTAGATCTCCACATTCTCAAGAAAACACAGAGGGATATCCTAAAGTAATGATGAAAGGCATTATATGTTATTATATATATGCATATTTAAGCCTCACCTGTATCCTTCCCTCCCTCCCTCCCTCCCTCCCTCCTCTAGATCTACTGGCCAGCTGTGAAGGAACACGTCGAGCACTGCAGACTGGCAGGGAAGAACCTGTCGGTAAGCAACAACATCTCTAAGAGCCAGAACAAACATGGATTAACAACATGGATGAACTTTCCCACAAATCTGTTTAGGTGCTCAGAAGATCTGATGCCTTATTTAGTAGTCATCTGGTATGGAGAGCCAGGCACGCTCATAGCACGTTATTGGGACAAGCACCCCTCACAGTGTATAATTAAAACAAGGCCAATCTTTATTTATGGTCATGTTGTTTTAGGTTTATGAGACCCAGGGGAGACGGGTAGGTTCTCATCCCTCTGTCTGGGACCTGACTGACAATTCCTTTACATACAAAGTCATCCTTCTTCCACCCCCTCCCCCACCCCCCCCATAAAAAAAGGTGGTTGTCCCACTGGCTATCATAAGTTGAATGCACCAATTTGTAAGTCGCTCTGGATAAGAGCATCTGCTAAATTATGTAAATGTAAATATAACACACAATAACAACCAAAGGTGACAGGTGATTCTACTCTGACAATGTTCAATCAATTATTGGTTGATTTCTTCATAAATAATTGGCCTTGAGGCAAAGACAGCAAACAGGTTAATCAGGCTGGTGTGTAGAAGAACAGGTATAGGATTTAGGATGGTCCTCTGTAGCTCGGTTGGTAACGCACGGCACTTTCAATGCCAATATCAAGGGTTTGATTCTCGCTGGGGCCACTCATATATATGCACACAGGATGGTGTGTTGCTTTTGGATAAAAGCGTCTCCTAAATGGAATATATATACAGTATATATATATAATGTTTAATCTCTGTTAACTATGGGCTGTAATGTAGATGTGGGTCATGTATGTTTAATGTAAATCCTAACATTGTTTCAGACTGACTGCGCCAACTACGTGCGTCTCCTCCAGCCCTTCAACAAGACCCATGTGTACGTCTGTGGCACCGGGGCCTACCACCCACAATGCACCTACATAGACCTGGGACACAGCACTGAGGTGAGGAAAGGAAGGAGGGAGGGAAAGAGGGAGAGAGAGAGAGAAGAGGTTGGGGGGAGGCCCATGTGTAGGTCTGTGGCACGGGGCCTACCACCCACAATGCACCTACATAGACCTGGGGCCTAGGAGGGGAAGGACTTCATCCAGGAGAGAGAGGCTCTGACTAAACTCTCTGTTCCATCTCTCTGACTAAACCCTGACTAAACTCTCTGTTCCATCTCTCTGACTAAACTCTGACTAAACTCTCTGTTCCATCTCTCTGACTAAACTCTGACTAAACTCTCTGTTCCACTCTCTCTGACTAAACTCTGACTAAACTCTCTGTTCCATCTCTCTGACTAAACTCTGACTTGTTATCTCTCTGTGTTGGCTCGGACGGATCACAGGGAGAGAGTCTCAATCTGCCTTTCTTTTTCTTTATAATTTGTTTTAATTGTAGGGCGGATATCATAAATGCTATAAAAATAAAAATAAAAATAAATTTTTTTCGTGATATCCAATTGGTAGTTAGTCTTTTACCATCGCTGCAAATTCCCTACGGACTCGGGAGAGAGCCATTTACACAATCCTGCCAAGCCGCACTGCTTCTTGACACACTGCTAGCTTAACCCGGAAGCCAGCCGCGCCAATGTGTCGGAAGAAACATCATCCAGCTGGCGACCGAAGTCAGCTTGCAGGCGCCCAGCCCGCCACAAGGAGTCGCTAGAGCGTGATGGGACAAGAAAATCCCGGGCCGGCCAAACCCTCCCTTAACCCGGACGACGCTGCGCCAATTGTGCTCCGCCTCATGGGTCTCCCGGTCACGGCCGGCTGTAGTGATGCCTAAGCACATTATGAAAATCCACTCTACATAATGAAAATCCAGCAGTCAACACACAACACAGCTACTATGTTACAGATATCAACCCCCTGTGTGATCTCAAATGGCTCAAAAGATCTTATGTGGGCACACTCACCCTTGGCTCTTCGACTTACTCCTCTTGGCCTCTTGGCTTCCATCCACATCACCCTTTTCTCAGCAAGGGATTTTGCAGCTCAGGGGAGGAGGGTTAATGTTATTGTGGAGATTAAATTATTACATTGTGGTAGTTGAGATGGTTCTCTGTGGTTGAGGAGGCTAATGCTATTGTGGATGTGACATCATTCTCTGCACAGATCAGAATAGAATATAGAATGAGTAGAATATAACTATATTGAATCTCTATGGTTCTCTGTGGGTCTCCAAGGAGCCGTTGTTCCGTCTGCAGAGCCATGCTGTGGAGTCTGGACGGGGGAAATGCCCCTTCAGTCCACAGGAACCCTTCACCGCCAGGCTCACCGGTAAGTAATATACAAATATTATGTCCATATAGGAGACCCTTGTAGTGACATACAGAACGTTGACATGGACACATGCTATATTTTCAGTATATAAAGAGAAGTAATACATCCAGCTAATATGGAAAAATACTGACATTAATGAGACCCTTTCCTCCACAATGACTTACAGAACTGTCAACGTTGACTGTGACACACAATATTCAGTATATGGCCTATGCGGGAATCAAACCCACCCTTAAAAGACTTGAGAATAATTATGAAACCCTTCAGAAATGGTGTGACCAGGAAGGGAGTTAGAGAGAGAGACAGAGAACCACATTATTTAGTTCTCACATAGTTTGCAGTGGACGTCAATCCCGCCGGACCTCAGTACATAAAACATATGGTTCATAATTAGGGGTAATGGAGTTAGCGGCTACCACTGGGAATGAGGCTCTGCTCTGTACTTTTTAGGAGTTTTAAGACGCCTCTCTATGTGATTGAAGATCCAAAAGCATTAGCTGAATTCCATATTCACACAGGCTATATATTATATAAACAATATACTGTCAAGAAAACATGACAGACATGTTTGTCTGTTGCATAAGGGTATCTCTGTATGTATAGTTTCCAAAACAATGAAACCCAAATTCCTCTTAGCCTTATAAACCAGCCAGATCGCTGAGTTCAGCCAAATTGACTCTGCCTTGAAGAGGGCATTATGAAGATGTAACAGAGATATATGTGTGTGTGTTTTCTTAAGCCAAACCGCTCCCTATCTCACCCCTAGATGGAGATTTGTATGCGGGGACGTCTGTGGATTTCATGGGCACCAACGCAGCTATATTCCGTACCTCTGTCCACAGCAGCAAACAACACTATATACGCACCGAGGCCTACCAAGACCACTGGCTCAATGGTGAGGCGCAGACGAGGACACAATGTCAAAGAAAAGATAAATGTCTCTATGCCAGTTGTCATAGAGGTTTCCTAATTATACGTACCAAGCTAGGTCGCTGGCACAGGCCTCATCCTTCACTCAGACAATTATTGGGTTCTTGCCAATCTTGTCGTCATTTTGAGGAGGCAAATCACTCCAAGTCATTATTTGGCGTTTCTGTCTAAGACAAATGTCCAATACTGAAGTGAGTTGATGAGTATGAGTCCTCATTGTGATATCCTTTGTTTCCCCCATGCAGAGCCTTAGTTTGTGGGTTTATTCTCCATCCCAGACACTCATCATGTTCTAGACTGTTCTAAAGGGTTCCCACAGATGTAGGATGTTAATTTTAGCCAGTTTGTTACAGCAGGAAAATAATCATGCAGCAACAGGAAATGTGAGTTATGTGGATTAGAATTAATGGACATTTTTGTAGGGTTTGCTAAATATTTCATAAGGGAAAAAAATCAAGTCTGAAATGTTAAAATGGAAATGACAAACTTTAGAATCCTTTTAAACCTCAAATACACTGCAAGTTTAAAATGTCCTGCATCTGCATACTGTACTATCTTCCTCACCATGATGTCATTTCCTCCCAATGCAGAGCCAAAGTTTGTGGGTTCCTTCTCCATTCCGGACACACACAGTGTGGACGATGACAAGGTCTACTTCTTCCTCAAGGAGACGGCTGTAGAGTCCAGCCAGTGGGACAAGAGGGTTTACAGCAGAGTGGCACGCATCTGCAAGTAAATAGGATGATGTGGAGAACAGCGTGAGATGAGAGGGTGGATATGGAGAACATAACAAGTATATACCGCAGCGACCTTCACCCAACATTTGGCGACCTCATCAAGAGGTTTTGGACCTCTTGGCATAACGGTTGAGGTGTTGGCTTGATGGTCACTAGACCTTGTTTTGAGTCCCGGTTGGGGCTGAATTCCCTGCAATATTTTCACAAAGGGCTTAACAGCAGATCCTACAGTAACAGCAGATCCTACAGTAACAGCAGATTCTACAGTAACAGCAGATCCTACAGTAACAGCAGAGACTACAGTAACAGCAGATACTACAGTAACAGCAGATCCTACAGTAACAGCAGATCCTACAGTAACAGCAGAGACTACAGTAACAGAAGAGACTTCAGTAACATCAGAGACTTCAGTAACATCAGATCCTACAGTAACATCAGAGACTACAGTAACATCAGAGACTACAGTAACCGCACATTCTACAGTAACAGCAGATCCTACAGTGACCGATTTGACTGATATTAGTGAGACAAAAAGTACCTAACTGAAAGACATGTAGGTGTTGATTTCATGTCCGATCTCCTCCTTGTGTCTCTCGTTAGAATGACGTTGGAGGGAAGAGGAGTCTGATTAACCGTTGGAGTACCTTCCTCAAGGCCCGTCTGATGTGTTCTGTACCAGGACCTGGGGGACTGGACACACAGTTTGATGAGCTCGGTACTCTGCTTTATCTATACTGCTGAAATGTTTTTTTTTATGTTTTAATGAACATTTTGACTTGTAATATCATGACTTTCATAACAATACATTATTAATTTGTTTGTTTAGTGGTTTTGGTTTTCTGGCTTGTAACTTTCCACTTTTTGATTTTGATTGCCAATGTTTCGGTGTACAATGTATTGGTAAAATGAGTACAGGTTATATTTTAGCCTGATAAGGTATTCGTTTTGTTAACTGTCTCTGTCTGTGGTTCCCCACTGTGATTCATTTCAGAGGATATCTTCATTCTGGAGACCAAAGACTCCCAGAACCCCGTCATCTATGGAGTTTTCTCAACCTCCGGGTCAGTTTGGGCTTTAAACATTTAACAACAAATATTATTGTATGATTAATATGATTCATTTTATGACAATAACTGAGACCTATTGAATTATTGATTTTATTTTAAAGTGGAACTGACACTGCTTTAACTACTTTTCAGATATGAAACAAACAGACAATCATAATATCAGTCAAAAACATCAACATCCCATTTTATGCTACAAAATCAACTTTATAAGTGGTTTTAAAAATAGGTTCTATTCGACTCAACATTCCATGACGCACACTAAGGTATTGTTGGCAGAATAGATGGATGCAGTTCAAAGCATGATTAATATAATTCACCAATACATTTCTTGGTAGTCCAAAAAATATTGCTCTCAGGTTGTAAATCACAGCTGGCCTGGAACGTTGTTTGCTGCCTCCATTCGGGATGCACTGTTTCAGTGACTCAATACTTCGGACAGAAAAGACGAATGTAACTAAGGCTGGGAATGTCAATACAATCAAACTAGCAAGGGCAATGATCACAAGTCAGTCATAGGCCCTCTGTAGCTCAGTTGGTAGAGCATGGCGTTTGCAACGCCAGGGTTGTGGGTTTGATTCCCACGGGGGGGCCAGTATGAAAATGTATGCACTCACTAACTGTAAGTCGCTCTGGATAAGAGCGTCTGCTAAATGACTAAAACGTGAATAACGTGGCTAATAGGCTGGAGTACGTGTCAAACACGCGGGCCGAATAGGACACACAAGCGAGTCAACAGTTGAGTCATCTACTTTATGAAATTACAGCCTGATGCGCTCCAATCGGTGAATTCAACTTCAGTTGCGCTGCTTTCATTTGTCCAGTTTACCGGCGCACAGCGGAGGGAAAGTGTACAGACACATGCCACAGTCCTAGCCAGGCTACTAAAATGTTGCCGTCTGGCTTCGGTTTTTAAAGCTTGACAAGGAATAACCAAAAAACAAAACACCATGCAAAGGGGAAACATGTCGGCCTGTTATAGAAACATTTGATCAGTAGCCTAGGCTGGCTGCTCAACTACAATACATTTTGAGTGTAACATAAAGCGATGCTGCATTCAACCATACCAGTGATCCATGCAGTGCAAAAAAAGGAAAAACATGTTTTATGTTTAAATGTTACAACAACATATAGCTATGTTTTTGTTATTTTGAGTTATTAAATACTTTTTGATTAGGGTCGCAGCATATTGTGCACATCTGCAAGCATAGCAGCGAAGGCTGGACAAATATGATTTATCTCTTCTTTTGTTTTAATATGTTCAAATGCTATATACAGCATCCTATGTACATAAGTGGACATTATAAAGGGTCGTATTTTTTTCCATATCCAACAATGGCCAGTTCGCAGTTGCATGTTTGTTGTTGTAAAAACAAATAGGCTATGTCTGGCCTGCGAATTCGTTGTGTGAATCGCTTTTCTAGCTAGCTATGCTAAACTTGAACGACTGTTATCCACAGTTAGCTTATCTCTCAGTTGTCAATCAAATGTATTTGGCTGGCAGGCAGGCAGGCAAGTTCCCATTCAGTTATCAAAACGTGGGTTGGGACAAGCAGGCTTTGGCAGGCAAGTTGCAGAAGGACGAGCAGACTACTATTCCCCATTGTTTATGTGTGTAATTTTGACGGCCAACTAGCTGAAAACTTTTGAGAGGGTTTATCTAGTTTTCCCTCGTTAGATTTTAGCTCATCTTGCTCTGGCTAGCATTAGTTGTTGATCTTGTTGTTGTTGATGTGCATAACTGAGGGAGAGAGAGCCTACCTTTTCATGGTTGTTTGATCAATAGGACTGTGAAGTTCCCAAATGTAAGAGGACTCCCGTGGTATTTACATGTTTGCAGAAATCCATTCAGGTGTATTTTGTGGCTTTAGGTGAATGCGTTCTAACGATCTAAAGTCGCGCTGTTGCTACTGCCTGTAAACACACAGTCCAGTTCAACGTGAATGATGGCAGACCCGTTTCGCATATAGGCTTACTGTAGAGCCGATTGGCTTTGGCGCACTGGTCTGCATAGACTCCGGTCCTGGACAAGACAGATGTTTTTATTAGGTTTTATTTACTGCGGTTTATTAATTGTCATTTTCCCACTCTATATTGCTATAGAATTCTCACAAATTCCTTACTGTACGTCATTCCCAAACATTCTATGAATTTATGAAAACGTGAAAATGACCATATCTAAGTGCTCGCTTGTCAGAAAACGTAAAAAATATTATTATTCTTCCTGGGGGTGTATATGAACAGATTTTTAAAAAAGATTTCATGTTGCTGAAACGCTGTCAGTTCCACTTTAAGAACTAGAGAAAATACACTGTCACTGTATTGCAGACCTTTCATCTGTGGACAAATGAAAATGTGTGATTCTCAGTGAGAAACACCCTAAAAGACAACAGACCATTGAAAGAATGTTAAAAGGATGTTATCTTGTTCCATAACAAAACAACCAGCCAATCAGCCTGACACGTGCACTCTCCCACCCCCTGACACGTGCACTCTCCCGTCTTAGCACTGCAGTGACCCCAGGGGTTATTGAGGGGTCAGGGGTGGAGAGGCTCGGCTGGATGTGTTATTGTAACCCACCCGGATCCATGTTAACACTCTCTTACCCTATCCACCTTCCTCCTCTCTCTCTTCTCTTTCCTTTTTCTGTCTCCTCTCCTCTTCTCTCCTCTCCTCTCCTCTCCTCTCCCTCTCCCTCTCCCTCTCCCTCTCCCTCTTCTCTCTCCTTCTCACCCTCTCCTCTCCTTTCCTCAGCATTGAAACCCCTCTCCTCTCTCTCTTCTCTCCCCTAGTTCTGTATTCAGAGGGTCAGCAGTGTGTGTCTACTCCATGGCATCTATCAGGGCAGCCTTCAACGGTCCGTTTGCCCATAAGGAAGGGCCGGACTACCACTGGGTGGAGTACAAGGGGAGGATTCCATATCCACGACCTGGGACTGTGAGTTCTCGGCAGGGACGGTCTGAGGAAGTGACAAACAGATAGACGGACGGATGGGCAAACAGACGGACAGAAAGATAGGGAAGCAAGCAGAAATAGAGATAGGCAGACAGACAGATTAATAAATCATTTAAAAAATACATTAGCTGTGCTTGATTGAGCTAGCCTTTTACAACGGAACTAATCGAAAAGTCCCAAAAGTGTAAACCCTGCCCCCCTGGCACTCCAAGCGAGTTTAAGGAAACTCTCAAAATATTTGAAAGGTTTCAAAAAGTATTTGAACCCTGGCCTGGTGGCAGACAAGCAGGCGGACAGACAGGCAGACATACAGGCGGACAGACAAGTGGACAGAAAGGCAACACGTGTGTTGATTTAAACTAGCTGGAAGCCAACCACTGGCTGGTTGATTAAAACAAGCTGATAAAGCTGTTGGAAGCTAACCGTGGCTCGTTGATTAAAACAAGCTGATAAAGCTGTTGGAAGCTAACCGCTGGCTGGTTGATTAAAACAAGCTGATAAAGCTGTTGGAAGCTAACTGCTGGCTGGTTGATTAAAACAAGCTGATAAAGCTGTTGGAAGCTAAGCGCTGGCTGGTTGATTAAAACAAGCTGATAAAACTGTTGGAAGCTAACCGCTGGCTGGTTGTTTTAACACCTCGGCTATGCATTCTCCTGGGAAGCAGTAACTTGTCAGCCAGAGGCTTCAGGGGAATGTTTAATGTGTTTTAGTGCTCTGTCGGAAATGGCTTGCTTTCACTGTTATTCTAGTCCCCCTGTTAGGGAACACTACAGGCAGTGGAGCGGCTCCTTGGATGTGCTTGATTACCACACACACACACACACATACACATTCACACACACACACACATACCCACACACACACACACGGTTCCTTGAAAGTGGTTGATTACAACTAGGGTCATGGACGTCAGTGTTTTGGTTACATGATTAAAATTCAAGTGAAACAGCTTCACATCATCCGCCAGTGTAATTTAAACCCCAGAGTCACTGAACAGCACGCATAGAGAGAGTAAAATGGCAGCTACATTTCAAAGGAAATAATAGTAGTTGAAATGGGGTCTGTTGCCAGTTTAAACACCAAAAAACTTCAACATGGTACTCATGCTTGTCATATCTAGCAGTGACTTTGTTTTGCCAGGATGGTAGGAGGAAATTACATCCACTCTGATAACTGAAGATTAAATGACCTTCCTTAGATGATATAAGTAGCTGTGCTTTGCCTGAGTGTTACAGTGTGCAGTGTGTTTTGTGATCAAAGTGTTGTTACTTTTTTTATCATAAAACATTAAACAAAACCACAACAGTCATCTAACTAGAACAACAATACAAATCAGAACTCTGTTTTTCACTTTGACCTTCAAGTAATAATCCTTGAATAATGATTGAATAATGCTTTCATAATCCTTTATATAAACCTTTAATAGTACAGTGAGGGAAAAAAGTATTTGATCCCCTGCTGATTTTGTACGTTTGCCCACTGACAAAGAAATGATCAGTCTATAATTTTAATGGTAGTTATATTTGAACAGTGAGAGACAGAATAACAACAAAAAAATCCAGAAAAACGCATGTCAAAAATGTTATAAATTTATTTGCATTTTAATGAGGGAAATAAGTATTTGACCCCCTCTCAATCAGAAAGATTTCTGGCTCCCAGGTGTCTTTTATACAGGTAACGAGCTGAGATTAGGAGCACACTCTTAAAGTGAGTGCTCCTAATCTCAGTTTGTTACCTGTATAAAAGACACCTGTCCACAGAAGCAATCAATCAATCAGATTCCAAACTCTCCACCATGGCCAAGACCAAAGAGCTCTCCAAGGATGTCAGGGACAAGATTGTAGACCTACACAAGGCTGGAATGGGCTACAAGACCATCGCCAAGCAGCTTGGTGAGAAGGTGACAACAGTTGGTGCGATTATTCGCAAATGGAAGAAACACAAAATAACTGCCAATCTCCCTCTGCCTGGGGCTCCATGCAAGATCTCACCTCGTAGAGTTGCAATGATCATGAGAACGGTGAGAAATCAGCCCAGAACTACATGGGAGGATCTTGTCAATGATCTCAAGGCAGCTGGGACCATAGTCACCAAGAAAACAATTGGTAACACACTACGCCGTGAAGGACTGAAATCCTGCAGCTCCCGCAAGGTCCCCCTGCTCAAGAAAGCACATATACATGCCCGTCTGAAGTTTGCCAATGAACATCTGAATGATTCAGAGGAGAACTGGGTGAAAGTGTTGTGGTCAGATGAGACCAAAATGGAGCTCTTTGGCATCAACTCAACTCGCCATGTTTGGAGGAGGAGGAATGCTGCCTATGACCCCAAGAACACCATCCCCACCATCAAACATGGAGGTGGAAACATTATGCTTTGGGGGTGTTTTTCTGCTAAGGGGACAGGACAACTTCACCGCATCAAAGGGACGATGGACGGGGCCATGTACCATCAAATCTTGGGTGAGAACCTCCTTCCCTCAGCCAGGGCATTGAAAATGGGTTGTGGATGGGTATTCCAGCATGACAATGACCCAAAACACACGGCCAAGTCAACAAAGGAGTGGCTCAAGAAGAAGCACATTAAGGTCCTGGAGTGGCCTAGCCAGTCTCCAGACCTTAATCCCATAGAAAATCTGTGGAGGGAGCTGAAGGTTCGAGTTGCCAAACGTCAGCCTCGAAACCTTAATGACTTGGAGAAGATCTGCAAAGAGGAGTGGGACAAAATCCCTCCTGAGATGTGTGCAAACCTGGTGGCCAACTACAAGAAACGTCTGACCTCGTGATTGCCAACAAGGGTTTTGCCACCAAGTACTAAGTCATGTTTAGCAGAGGGGTCAAATACTTATTTCCCTCATTAAAATGCAAATCAATTTATAACATTTTTGACATGCATTTTTCTGGATTTTTTTGTTGTTATTCTGTCTCTCACTGTTCCAATAAACCTACCATTAAAATGATAGACTGATCATTTCTTTGTCAGTGGGCAAACGTACAAAATCAGCAGGGGATCAAATACTTTTTTCCCTCCCCAGTGTCCCAGTGTGACCTACGACCCCCTCCACAAGTCTACTCGTGACTTCCCTGATGACGTAGTGAGCTTCATGAGGGGTCACCAGCTGATGTGGGAACCCATCCTGCCCGTCACACGCCGGCCCGTCTTCACCCGCGTCAATGTACCCTACACCCTACGAAGGGTGGTAGTGGATAGGGTGGATGCTGATGATGGACAGTATGACGTCCTACACCTGGGCACAGGTAAGAGAGCGTGTGAACGTGCTACACCCTACCCAGGGTACAGGGAGAAAGTGGGGCTGGGGTGTAGTAGTGAACAGTGTTCCCTACACCCTACGAAGGGTGGTAGTGGATAGGGTGGATACTGAGTATGATATATATATTGACAGTATGATATAATACACCTGATTTCTGGAACAGGTTATAGTAGAGAGTGGTGGCTTCACTAGTGCAACAGAACAAGACCAACAGAAGACAGGGGTGACTGATACAACTTTAGAGGGGGGGGGGGCTGAGTACCAACAGTAGGAGGGGGCATCGATACCACCAGTGCAGAGGGCGGGTGTGACTACGACCCTACCAACAGTAGAGTAGAGGGGGGCTGATCACAGTAGGAGGCTTGATACCAACCAGTAGATAGGGGTGGGGGACCCATCCTGTCCACAGTAAGAGGGGGGCCCGCTGATACCAACAGCGTGAAGAGGGGGGGCTGTACCCACACAGTAGAGAGGGTGGGATAGGGTGGATGCTCCAAAGTAGAGCAGAGGGGCTGAACCAACAGTAGAGAGAGGGTGGGCTACTACCCAGTACAGAGAAGAGAGGGGGGGGAGCTGATACCAACCGTAGAAGGGGGAGGGGGGCTGATACAACAGTAGAGATTATGGGTTGGCTGATACCCAACAGTAGAGAGGGGGGGCTGATACAACAGTAGAGAGAGAGAGCGGGGGCTGATACCAACAGTAGAGAGGGGGGTGGGCTGTACAAAGTAGAGGGGGCTGATACCAACAGTAGAGGGGGGGGGGGGGGTGGGGGGGGGCTTGATACCAACAGTAGAGAGAGGGGGGGCTGATCAACAGTAGGAGGGGGGGCTGATACCAACAGTAGAGAGAGGGGGGGCGATACACGTAGAGAGGGGGGCTGATACACAGAGAGGAGGGGGGGGCTGATACCAACAGTAGAGAGGGGGGGGGGGGCTGCGATACCAACAGTAGAGAGAGGGGGGCTGATACCAACAGTAGAAGAGGGGGGCGATAACAGTGGAGGGGGGGGCTGATACCAACAGTAGAGAGAGGGGGGGGGCTGATACCAACAGTAGAGAGGGGGGGGCTGATACCAACAGTAGAGAGGGGGGGGGCGGCTGATACCAACAGTAAGAGGGGGGGGTGAATATATACCAACAGTAAGGGGGTGGGGGTGATACCACAGTAGAGATAGTTGGGGGGGGTGAACCAACAGTAGAGAGGGTGGTGGGGATCTGATACCCAACGGTAAGAGGCGTTGGGCTATACCACAGTGAGCAAGAGGGCCGGCTGATACCAACAGTAGAGAGAGGGGGGGGGGGGGTGATACCAACAGTAGAGAGGGGGGGGGGCTGATCCGTAGGGGGGGGGTGATACCAACAGTAGAGAGGGGGGGCTGATATCAAAATGTAAGTTAGATTGCATTGGAGGCTTTATCCAACCACAGTCAGCGTGCATACTTTTGTGTATGGGGGCCTGATCGAACCCTATTGGGTATAGCGGCTGTACTACAAACAGTGAGCTAAGAGGGAGCAATGATACCAACAGTAGAGAGAGGGGGTGCTGATACCACAGTAGAGAGGGGGGGGCTGATACCAACAGTAGAGAGAGGGGGGCTGATACCAACAGTAGAGAGGGGGGCTGATACCAACAGTAGAGAGGGGGGGGGGGGCTGATACCAACAGTAGAGAGGGGGGCTGATACCAACAGTATAGAGAGGGGGGCTGATAACCAACAGTAGAGAGAGGGGGGGGCTGATACCAACAGTAGAGAGGGGGGGGCTGATACCAACAGTAGAGAGAGGGGGGCTGATACCAACAGTAGAGAGGGGGGCTGATACCAACAGTAGAGAGGGGGGGGGGCTGTGGGGGTGATACCAACAGTAGAGAGGGGGGGGCTGATACCAACAGTTAGAGAGAGGGGGGGGCTGATACCAACAGTAGAGAGGGGGGGGCTGATACCAACAGTAGAGAGAGGGGGGGGGGCTGATACCAACAGTAGAGAGGGGGGCTGATACCAACAGTAGAGAGGGGGGGGGGCTGATACCAACAGTAGAGAGAGGGGGGGCTTGATACCAACAGTAGAGAGGGGGGAGGGGGGGGGCTGATACCAACAGTAGAAGAGGGGGGGGCTGATACCAACAGTAGAGAGAGGGGGGCTGATACCAACAGTAGAGAGAGGGGGGGGGGCTGATACCAACAGTAGAGAGGGGGGGCTGATACCAACAGTAGAGAGGGGGGGGGGCTGATACCAACAGTAGAGGAGGGGGGGGCTGATACCAACAGTAGAGAGGGGGGGGGGGGCTGATACCAACAGTAGAGAGAGGGGGGGCTGATACCAACAGTAGAGAGGGGGGGGCTGTGATACCAAACAGTAGAGAGGGGGGGGGGGCTGATACCAACAGTAGAGGAGGGGGGCTGATACCAACAGTAGAGAGGGGGGCTGATACCAACAGTAGAGAGGGGGGGGCTGATACCAACAGTAGAGAGAGGGGGGGGCTGATACCAACAGTAGGAGAGGGGGGGGGGGGCTTGATACCAACAGTAGAGAGGGGGGGGGGGGCTGATACCAACAGTAGAGAGGGGGGGGTGATACCAACAGTAGAGAGGGGGGGGCTGATACCAACAGTAGAGAGAGGGGGGGGCTGATACCAACAGTAGAGAGAGGGGGGCTTGATACCAACAGTAGAGAGGGGGGGGGGGGGGCTGATACCAACAGTAGAGAGGGGGGGATACCACAGTAGAGAGGGGGCTGATACCAACAGTAGAGAGAGGGGGGGCTGATACCAACAGTAGAGAGGGGGGGGCTGATACCAACAGTAGAGAGGGGGGGGGGGCTGATACCAACAGTAGAGAGGGGGGGGGGGCTGATACCAACAGTAGAGGGGGGGCTGATACCAACAGTAGAGAGAGGGGGGGGCTGATACCAACAGTAGAGAGGGGGGGGGGCTGATACCAACAGTAGAGAGAGGGGGTGATACCAGTAGAGAGGGGGGGCTGATACCAACAGTAGAGAGGGGGGGGGGGCTGATACCAACAGTAGAGAGAGGGGGGCTGATACAACAGTAGAGAGGGGGGGGGGGGCTGATACCAACAGTAGAGAGGGGGGGGGGGGCTGATACCAACAGTAGAGAGAGGGGCTGATACCAACAGTAGATGAGGGGGGGGCTGATACCAACAGTAGAGAGAGGGGGGGGCTGATACCAACAGTAGAGAGAGGGGGGCTGATACCAACAGTTAGAGAGAGGGGGGGCTGATACCAACAGTAGAGAGGGGGGCTGATACCCAACCAGTAGGAGAGGGGGGGGCTGATACCAACAGTAGAGAGGGGGGGGCTGATACCAACAGTAGAGAGAGGGGGGGGGGCTGATACCAACAGTAGAGGGGGGGGGGGGGGCTGATACCAACAGTAGAGAGAGGGGGGCTGATACCAACAGTAGAGAGAGGGGGGGGCTGATACCAACAGTAGAGAGAGGGGGGCTGATACCAACAGTAGAGAGAGGGGGGGGCTGATACCAACAGTAGAGAGAGGGGGGCTGATACCAACAGTAGAGAGGGGGGGGGCTGATACCAACAGTAGAGAGAGGGGGGGGCTGATACCAACAGTAGAGAGGGGGGGGGGCTGATTACCAAACAGTAGAGAGGGGGGGGCTGATACCAACAGTAGAGAGAGGGGGGGGCTGATACCAACAGTAGAGAGGGGGGGGGGCTGATACCAACAGTAGAGAGGGGGGGGGGCTGATACCAACAGTAGAGAGGGGGGGGGCTGATACCAACAGTAGAGAGAGGGGGGGGCTGATACCAACAGTAGAGAGAGGGGGGCTGATACCAACAGTAGAGAGGGGGGCTGATACCAACAGTAGAGAGGGGGGGGCTGATACCAACAGTAGAGAGGGGGGCTGATACCAACAGTAGAGAGGGGGGCTGATACCAACAGTAGAGAGGGGGGGGCTGATACCAACAGTAGAGAGGGGGGCTGATACCAACAGTAGAGAGGGGGGCTGATACCAACAGTAGAGAGAGGGGGGCTGATACCAACAGTAGAGAGAGGGGGGGGGCTGATACCAACAGTAGAGAGAGGGGGGGGGCTGATACCAACAGTAGAGAGGGGGGCTGATACCAACAGTAGAGAGGGGGGCTGATACCAACAGTAGAGAGGGGGGGGGGGGCTGATACCAACAGTAGAGAGAGGGGCTGATACCAACAGTAGAGAGGGGGGGGGGGCTGATACCAACAGTAGAGAGGGGGGGGGGCTGATACCAACAGTAGAGAGAGGGGGGGGCTGATACCAACAGTAGAGAGAGGGGGGGCTGATACCAACAGTAGAGAGAGGGGGGCTGATACCAACAGTAGAGAGAGAGGGGGGCTGATACCAACAGTAGAGAGGGGGGGCTGATACCAACAGTAGAGAGGGGGGGGCTGATACCAACAGTAGAGAGAGGGGGGGGGGCTGATACCAACAGTAGAGAGGGGGGGGGGGGGCTGATACCAACAGTAGAGAGAGGGGGGCTGATACCAACAGTAGAGAGAGGGGGGGGGCTGATACCAACAGTAGAGAGAGGGGGGCTGATACCAACAGTAGAGAGAGGGGGGCTGATACCAACAGTAGAGAGAGGGGGGGGCTGATACCAACAGTAGAGAGAGGGGGGCTGATACCAACAGTAGAGAGGGGGGGGGGCTGATACCAACAGTAGAGAGAGGGGGGCTGATACCAACAGTAGAGAGGGGGGCTGATACCAACAGTAGAGAGGGGGGCTGATACCAACAGTAGAGAGAGGGGGGGGCTGATACCAACAGTAGAGAGAGGGGGGGGCTGATACCAACAGTAGAGAGAGGGGGGCTGATACCAACAGTAGAGAGGGGGGGGCTGATACCAACAGTAGAGAGAAGGGGGCTGATACCAACAGTAGAGAGGGGGGGGCTGATACCAACAGTAGAGAGAGGGGGGGGCTGATACCAACAGTATAGAGGGTGGGGCTGATACCAGAGATGGAGACTAATGTCTCAGTGAGATCATAATGGTTTTGGGCAGGTCTACTGTATGCTGGCTGGTCACCGTCGGTTACAAGCAAGCAAGCAAGCAACCAAAACCAAACCAAAACAACACAACTTCACTACACACACATAAAAAAAGATTGTAAAGAGAGTTTGCTCAGACTCTCCAGGCTACATGCTGTAGCAGTTCCTTGGTAACCGTGAAACCTGGAGAACAGGGTGATAAACAGACCCTATATGAGTTAGACATCTAATGAGGATTTATAGTGGCACCCTGAGTGGCGCTAGCAACTGTTACACTTTCTCCCTGTCACCCTGTCACCCTGTCACCCTGTCACCCTGTCACCCTGACACCCTGTCACCCTGTCACCCTGTCACCCTGTCACCCTGTCACCCTGACACCCTGTCACCCTGACACCCTGTCACCCTGTCATCCTGTCACCCTGTCACCCTGACACCCTGTCACCCTGTCACCCTGTCACCCTTTCACCCTGACACCCTGTCACCCTGACACCCTGTCACCCTGTCATCCTGTCACCCTGACACCCTGACACCCTGTCACCCTGTCACCCTGACACCCTGACACCCTGACACCCTGTCACCCTGTCACCCTGTCACCCTGACACCCTGTCACCCTGTCACCCTGTCACCCTGTCACCCTGTCACCCTGACACCCTGTCACCCTGTCACCCTGTCACCCTGTCACCCTGACACCCTGTCACCCTGTCATCCTGTCACCCTGTCACCCTGACACCCTGTCATCCTGTCATCCTGTCATCCTGTCACCCTGTCACCCTGACACCCTGACACCCTGTCACCCTGTCACCCTGTCACCCTGTCACTACCCGGCTCCTTCACCCAGTCCTGGTCACCTCTAGGAGCTGTTAGCTTTGTCCTCAGCACACAGAGTAGATAGGTGTGTGTAGAGTGTGTGTATAGTGTGTGTAGTGTGTGTAGTGTGTATAGTGTGTATAGTGTGTATAGTGTGTGTAGTGTGTGTAGTGTGTGTAGAGTGTGTAGAGTGTGTAGAGTGTGTAGAGTGTGTAGAGTGTGTAGAGTGTGTGTAGTGTGTAGTGTGTAGTGTGTGTAGTGTGTGTAGAGTGTGTTTGCCGAGGGGTGTCTGTCTTAAAATGATTAACTTAAAATAGGGTTAAGTTCAAGACACACAAACGCAAGTATGGATGGAGGCGCATGCACACACACACAAACACACACACACACACACACACACACACACACACACACACACACACACACACACTGGAGTGTCAGCGTTGGTTCTTCATGATAATGTCAGGATGGTCCCAGGCAGGGAGTCATTATCCTGGGGAAAGGGTTACCGTGGGAACTTTCCTTTGGCTCAACAACTAATCTATGTCTGCTCTGAGCCTGATGAACCAGGACATACTGAGCTCCAATGGCCCAGCTCACGTTAGTGTGATCTCTGTTCCATAACCCTGCACTCTGTCATTCAATCCTCTCTGCCTGGCCCCTGGTGTAACTCACTCAGAGTCCATACACTACTGTAGGTAGGCATCATCGGGTCAAGACACATAGGGCTTCTGTTTGAAGATTTTCCATTGAGATTCTCATCACTTGCATTAAGGAATAGTGAATCATGTCAGTATTGAGAGTGTGGCTAAGCAAGGCAAGCGATGTCTGGTGAGATGAATGAATCCCATGATTTAGTAGCATCAGCACCTAGACACAGATTCATTCATCAAGCCGAGGTAGATAGCTGAGCTCTTTCTGAGAAGCTCTCTCTCTCTGAAGGCTCTCCACTTAGCGGGGACCTTTGGTATGACCTCTGGTCAACCCTTGAGGTTAAATATCCTAACTCATGAATCACACACTACCCTGTTATCCCTGTTAATGAGTTTAGTTTGGGCCGACACACACAACTTAACTTCTTCAGCTGACAACGCACACACACACACATGCGCGCACACACACACACACACATACACACATATACACACACACACACACATGCACACACACACCCACACACATGTACACACACACACACACATGTACACACACACACATGTACACACACACACACACACATGCACACACACACACACACACACACACACACACACACACACACACACACACACACACACACACACACACACACACACACGTACACACACACATGCACACACACACATGTACACACACCAGACAACGCTACTAAGTAACGATGACACCACAGCATCAATGCATTAAGCACACAGTCAGGCAGGGTGGTTAGTCAGGCAGGGTGGTTGGTCAGGCAGGGTGGTTAGTCAGATAGGGTGGTTAATCCGGCAGGGTGGTTAGTCAGGCAGGGTGGTTAGCCAGGCAGGGTGGTTGGTCAGGCAGGGTGGTTGGTCAGGCAGGGTGGTTGGTCAGGCAGGGTGGTTAGTCAGGCAGGGTGGTTGGTCAGGCAGGGTGGTTGGTCAGGCAGGGTGGTTGGTCAGGCAGGGTGGTTAGTCAGGCAGGGTGGTTGGTCAGGCAGGGTGGTTGGTCAGGCAGGGTGGTTAGTCAGGCAGGGTGGTTAGCCAGGCAGGGTGGTTTGTCAGGCAGGGTGGTTAGTCAGGCAGGGTGGTTGTCAGGCAGGGTGGTTAGTCAGGCAGGGTGATTAGTCAGGCAGGGTGGTTGGTCAGGCAGGGTGGTTACTCAGGCAGGGTGGTTAGTCAGGCAGGGTGGTTGGTCAGGCAGGGTGGTTACTCAGGCAGGGTGGTTACTCAGGCAGGGTGGTTAGTCAGGCAGGGTGGTTGGTTGGTCGGGCAGGGTGGTTAGTCAGGCAGGGTGGTTAGTCAGGCAGGGTGGTTGGTCAGGCAGGGTGGTTTCTCAGGCAGGGTGGTTAGTCAAGCAGGGTGATTGGTCGGGCAGGGTGGTTACTCAGGCAGGGTGGTTACTCAGGCAGGGATGTTGGTCAGGCAGGGTGTTTGGTTGGTGTGACATAGAGACGTTTAACCCAGCATTTGCATTTGAAGATCACCAGCTGTATCAGACATTAACTGTAATTGGTTGTTGTTACCTGCGTAGGAAAATCATATACACACCTGTCACTCACTTCCTCCTTCCTTTTTCTCTCTCCTGTTTAGATGATGGCAAGGTGCTGAAAGTGGTGTCTGTCCCCAAAGACAACTGGGAGACTGAGGAGATCATTCTGGAGGAGCTGACTGTCTTTCAGGTGAGATAGATAGGTAGATTTGGAATTTGGTTTACTTTCTGAATTGACTTGAATTTAAATGGAGTTGAACCCAACCCTTTTACCAACTCAGAGGGTTGAGCTGCTAGAGTTTCAACTTCAGCCCAGAAACATGACTGTACCTCATAGGAACTACATCTGAAATGGGCCCAGCCAGGAAACATGACTGTACCTCATAGGAACTACATCTGAAATGGGCCCAGCCAGGAAACATGACTGTACCTCATAGGAACTACATCTGAAATGGGCCCAGCCCAGAAACATGACTGTACCTCATAGGATCTACATCTGAAATGGGCCCAGCCCAGAAACATGACTGTATCTCATAGGAACTACATCTGAAATGGGCCCAGCCAGGAAACATGACTGTATCTCATAGGAACTACATCTGAAATGGGCCCAGCCAGGAAACATGACTGTACCTCATAGGAACTACATCTGAAATGGGCCCAGCCAGGAAACATGACTGTACCTCATAGGAACTACATCTGAAATGGGCCCAGCCCAGAAACATGACTTTCCCTCATAGGAACTACATCTGAAATGGGCCCAGCCAGGAAACATGACTGTACCTCATAGGAACTACATCTGAAATGGGCCCAGCCAGGAAACATGACTGTACCTCATAGGAACTACATCTGAAATGGGCCCAGCCCAGAAACATGACTGTATCTCATAGGAACTACATCTGAAATGGGCCCAGCCAGGAAACATGACTGTACCTCATAGGAACTACATCTGAAATGGGCCCAGCCAGGAAACATGACTGTACCTCATAGGAACTACATCTGAAATGGGCCCAGTCAGGAAACATGACTGTACCTCATAGGAACTACATGTAGATCTGACAGAAATGGATAGGTAATAGTAGTAGTAGCGCCACCTTGCCCTCTGATAGACTAATAGGAAATTCCGCCATAGTATGCCAATCAAATCCTCTCAGATCTTTTTTTATTTATTTTTGTATTTCACCTTTATTTAACCAGGTAAGCCAGTTGAGAACAAGTTCTCATTTACAACTGCGACCTGGCCAAGATAAAGCAAAGCGGTGCGATAAAAACAACAACACAGAGTTACATATGGGGTAAAACAAAACATAAAGTCAAAAATACAACAGAAAATATATATACAGTGTGTGCAAATGTAGCAAGTTATGGAGGTAAGGCAATAAATAGGCTATAGTGCAAATTAATTACAATTAGTATTAACACTGGAATGCTAGATGTGCAAGAGATTATGTGCAAATAGAGATACTGGGGAGCAAAAGAGCAAAATAAATAACAATATAGGGATGAGGTAGTTGGGCGGGCTAATTTCAGATGGGCTGTGTACAGGTGCAGTGATCGGTAAGGTGCTCTGACAACTGATGCTTAAAGTTAGTGAGGGAGATAAGAGTCTCCAGCTTCAGAGATTTTTGCAATTCGTTCCAGTCATTGGCAGCAGAGAACTGGAAGGAATGGCGGCCAAAGGAGGTATTGGCTTTGGGAATGACCAGTGAGATATACCTGCTGGAGCGCAGACTACGGGTGGGTGCTGCTATGGTGACCAATGAGCTAAGATAAGGCGGGGATTTGCCTAGCAGTGATTTATAGATGGCCTGGAGCCAGTGGGTTTGACGACGAACATGTAGTGAGGACCAGCCAACAAGAGCGTACAGGTCACAGTGGTGGGTAGTGTATGGGGCTTTGGAGACAAAACGGATGGCACTGTGATAGACTACATCCAATTTGCTGAGTAGAGTGTTGGAGGCTATTTTGTAAATGACATCGCCGAAGTCAAGGATCGGTAGGATAGTCAGTTTTACGAGGGCATGTTTGGCAGCATGAGTGAAGGAGGCTTTGTTGCGAAATAGGAAGCCGATTCTAGATTTAACTTTGGATTGGAGATTCTTAATGTGAGTCTGGAAGGAGAGTTTACAGTCTAACCAGACACCTAGGTATTTGTAGTTGTCCACATACTCTAGGTCAGACCCGTCGAGAGTGGTGATTCTAGTCGGGTGGGCGGGTGCCAGCAGCGTTCGATTGAAAAGCATGCATTTAGTTTTACTAGTGTTTAAGAGCAGTTGGAGGCTACTGAAGGAGTGTTGTATGGCATTGAAGCTCGTTTGGAGGTTTGTTAACACAGTGTCCAATGAAGGGCCAGATGTATACAAAAGGGTGTCGTCTGCGTAGAGGTGGATCTGAGAGTCACCAGCAGCAAGAGAGACATCATTGATATACACGGAGAAAAGTGTCGGCCCAAGAATTGAACCCTGTGGCACCCCCATAGAGACTGCCATAGGTCCAGACAACAGGCCCTCCGATTTGACACACTGAACTCTATCTGAGAAGTAGTTGGTGAACCAGGCGAGGCAGTCATTTGAGAAACCAAGGCTATTTAGTCTGCCAATAAGAATGCGGTGGTTGACAGAGTCGAAAGCCTTGGCCAGGTCGATGAAGACGGCTGCACAGTACTGTCTATTATCAATCGCGGTTATAATATCGTTTAGGACCTTGAGCGTGGCTGAAGTGCACCCATGACCAGCTCGGAAACCGGATTGCATAGCGGAGAAGGTACGGTGGTATTCGAAATGGTCGGTGATCTGTTTGTTAACTTGGCTTTAAAATACTTTCGAAAGGCAGGGCAGGATGGATATAGGTCTGTAGCAGTTTGGATCTAGAGTGTCACCCCCTTTGAAGAGGGGGATGACCGCGGCAGCTTTCCAATATCTGGGGATCTCAGACGTTACGAAAGAGAGGTTGAACAGACTAGTAATAGGGGTTGCGACAATTTCGGCGGCTAGTTTTAGAAAGAAAGGGTCCAGATTGTTTAGCCCAGCTGATTTGTAGGGGTCCAGATTTTGCAGCTCTTTCAGAACATCAGCTGTCTGAATTTGTGTGAAGGAGAAGCGGGGGGGGGGGCATGGGCAAGTTGCAGCGGAGGGTGCAGAGTTGGTGGCCGGGGTAGTGGTAGCCAGGTGGAAAGCATGGCCAGCCGTAGCAAAATGCTTGTTGAAATTCTCGATTATTGTAGATTTATCGGTGGTGATAGTGTTTCCTAGCCTCAGTGCAGTGGGCAGCTGGGAGGAAGTGCTCTTATTCTCCATGGACTTTACAGTGTCCCAAAACTTTTTGGAGTTAGTGCTACAGGATGCAAATTTCTGTTTGAAAAAGTTAGCCTTTGCTTTCCTGACTGCTTGTGTATATTGGTTCCTAACTTCCCTGAAAAGTTGCATATCGCGGGGGCTATTTGATGCTAATGCAGTACGCCACAGGATGTTTTTGTGCTGGTCAAGGGCAGTCAAGTCTGAGGAGAACCAGGGGCTATATCTGTTCTTAGTTCTGTATTTTTTGAATGGGGCATGTTTATTTAAGATTGAGAGGAAATTACTTTTAAGGAACAACCAGGCATCCTCTACTGACGGAATGAGATCTATATCCATCCAGGATACCTGGGCCAGGTCAATTAGGAAGGCCTGCTCGCTAAAGTGTTTTAGGGAGCGTTTGACAGTGATGAGGGGTGGTCGTTTGACCGCGGACCCGTTACGGACGCAGGCAATAAGGCAGTGATCGCTGAGATCCTGGTTGAAGACAGCTGAGGTGTATTTAGAGGGTAAGTTAGTCAGGATGATATCTATGAGGGTACCCATGTTTACGGATTTAGGGTTGTACCTGGTAGGTTCGTTGATATTTTGCGTGAGATTGAGGGCATCTAGTTTGGATTGTAGGATGGCCGGGGTATTAAGCATATCCCAATTTAGGTCACCAAGCAGTACGAACTCTGAGGATAAATGGGGGGCAATCAATTCACATATGGTGTCCAGGGCACAGCTGGGGGCTGAGGGGGGTCTGTAGCAAGCGGCAACAGTGAGAGACTTATTTCTGGAAAGGTGGATTTTTAGAAGTAGAAGCTCAAACTGTTTGGGCACAGACCTGGATAGTATGATAGAGCTCTGCAGGCTATCTCTACAGTAGATTGCAACTCCACCCCCTTTGGCAGTTCTATCTAGACGGAAAATGTTATAGTTGGGGATGGAAATTTCAGAATTTTTGGTGGCCTTCCTAAGCCAGGATTCAGACACTGCTAGAACATCAGGGTTGGCGGAGTGTGCTAACGCAGTGAATAACTCAAACTTAGGAAGTAGACTTCTGATATTTACGTGCAAGAAACCAAGACTTTTGCGATTACAGAAGTCAGCAAATGATAGCGCCTGGGGAGTAGGAGTGATACTGAGGGCTGCAGGGCCTGGGTTAGCCTCTACATCACCAGAGGAACAGAGGAGGACTAGAATAAGGATACGGCTAAAGGCTTTAAGAACTGGTCTTCTAGTGCGTTGGGTACATAGAATAAAGGGGGCCGATTTCCGGGCGTTGTAGAAAAGATTCAGGGCATTATGTACAGACAAGGATATGGAAGGATATGAGTAAAGTGGAGGTAAACCTAAGCGTTGGGTAACAATGAAAGAGATAGCATCACTGGAGGCACCAATTGAGTCGGTCTCCGCGTGTATGGGGGGTGGGACAAAGGAGCTATCTAAGGCAGGTTTAGCTGGGCTGGGGAATCTACAGTGAAATAGTACAATTAGGAATAACCGAAACAACAATAAGCTAACCATGTTGACAAGGGAGAGAGGCATAAAGCAATCACAGGTGTAATTTGAGAGAGCTAAGACAACAGCTGGTAATGACGACACAGTTTGGGCTGAGGCTAAACATAAACAGGATGCAGTACCGTAAAAAGGAACAGTCCAGCAGACATCAGCTGTATAGCTGAGTTATCATAAGGTCCGGTGAACAGCAATAGGATAGTTCGGAGGCTGCTAAAGCACTAGCGAGTAAGAGGCCACGGCTAGCGTGTGCTAGCGGGCCGGGGCTAGCAGATGGAATCTTCGTGGTCGACGTCGTAACCACATCAGACGATTTCGTCGGCAGACCAGTCGTGTAGGATCGGCGGGGATCCGTGTCAACACTAGGTGGTCCCGTCCGGTTGACAGAGAGGTAGATAGCCGGGAGATGGGCCTAGCTCAGGATGATTAGCCAGACCACAACATCCATTTTGTTGCAGCTAGCTGGTAGCGATGAATCCGGAGTTAAAGGTCCAGTGATTCAGTGATTCCGGCAGAAAAACTGATATGTTCTGGGTCGATAACGCGCTGTGCAGACTTGCCGAATAATAGTCCAGACTAGAGCTGGCTGGTGAGTGGTGCAGGCCACGGACAATGGTGAAAAACCGCTAACGGTAGCTGATAGCAAGTAGCTAGTTAGCTGGCTACTCCCGTCCGGTAGAGGTAGATATGAGCCTGGCTTTAGGCTAGCTCGAGGCTAACTGGTGCTTGCATCGGGGGCAGTGGTGATTAGCCAGACAGCAACATCCATTCGGTTGCGGCTAGCTAGTTGCGATCCGGTGATTAATGTCCAGTGATTAAATTAATCCTGCAGAAAAAAAATCCAATGTTCTGGGTGAAATACCGCTAACTGTGGCTAATAGCAAGTAGCTAGTTAGCTGGCTAGCTAGTTTCAACTGGAGATTCTAGATAAAAGGTAAGTCAATAATAGAATCCGTTCCACATTGAGTGAGGCGGGTTGCAGGAAAGTATATTTTGTAGAAGGATGAAAAGTCTGATAGGGAAATATGTACGAAAAATAGAAAAAAACAGGGTATTTACAGGCTATTTACAGACACACGACAAAAACAGAACTGCACTACTACGCCATCTTGGATTACAGGAGTGCCTAGGGGTAGGGACTAGGAGATAAGGCCTAGGGGCTGGGAGATGAGGCCTAAGGGCTATAAGATAAGGCCTAGGGGCTAGGAGATAAGGCCTATGAGAAAGGAGATAGGGGCTAGGAGATAAGGCCTAGGAGAAAGGAGATAGGGGCTAGGAGATAAGGCCTAGGAGAAAGGAGATAGGGGCTAGGGGATAAGGCCTAGGGGCAAGGAGATGAGGCCTAGGAGATAGGAGATAGGGGCTAGGGGATAAGGGCTAGGGGCTAGGGGTTGATAGATTTGTTTTCTCAAGTTTCCCATTACCATGCCATCTGTTGACCTGTCTGCCATGTCATCTGTCCAGCACTGGCTGTTGTTTCCATTGGGGCAATCTCATACTTGACCAAAATAACTTATTAACCCCCTAAGAGGAAAAACAGATACAGACCTATTTTTCCCAGGGCTTCCCAAGTAACTAGACAGACTAACTCCTCTTAGGGAAGATGAGAAGAAGGAGAGGAGTGTGGAACAACAACAACAACAACAACAACAACAACAACATAGGTCATGATGGCGGTGTGCATTTATTGGGAATCCAAACCGGAGCGAACCTGTTTAATCCTCTCTTAACAAACAAGAAGATGAATGTCAGGGGCAGTTCTCACAGTCAGTTTCAGAGTTCCATTTTTTTTTTTTTTTTTTACCCTTTATTTAACTAGGCAAGTCAGTTAAGAACAAATTCTTATTTACAATGACGGCCTAATGAATACAATACTATGGACACGGGGACCTGATCCATGATCAGCACAACTCTTTGTGAATAAGGGCTTGGAGCTCCGACGAGGGAAAAAAAAAAAACTGACTGTATCCTCTTGGCTAGGGTTGAACCACACACATACTTATACATGACATCATTGGGTTTAACATGGGAGGTTTTGGGGGGTTTGACTTTGGTATGACCTGGCAGTGTCAGGCCTTGGGTAGAGGTTAACCACATAGCTCATTAGACTGGGTTGGGGTTAATACATGAGTTGAGAGTGGTAATGAGTCTTCCTGAGGGAAGAACAGAGGTCCGTGTGTGCGTGTGTGTGTGTGTGTGTGTGTGTGTGTGTGTGTGGCCTGGTAGAGAGTTAGCTAGCTACCTAGGAGAATGAGTGCGAATGTGAGGAGACATATGATAGCAAGGTAATCGTCCGCATCCCTCTGAAGGCTATCTACAGAGGACTGAAGAGGACACAGCTCACTTGGACTGTCAGGGGTCATTGACTCACAATGTCACCATGTTTAAATGAATCACTGAGACAGATAATGTTGGTAATGGTGTAACTTGGTATGTGGGTTCTCTAGAGGAGCCTTTTTATTCATTATCTCACACACACACACACACACACACACACAAAAACACACACAAACACACACACACACACACAAAACACACACACACACACACACAAAACACACACACGCACAAACACACAAACACACACACACACACAGAAACACACACACACACACACGCACACACACACACAAAATATTGTCTTGTGTGATGTCGACCTGTGTTTTAACCCATTGTGTTCTGATTCTGCAGAGTCAGGCCCCCATTCTTAGCATGGAGCTGTCTACCAAACGGGTAAATCTGCTGTTTGTGAGTGTGTGTGTGTGTGTGTGTGTGTGTGTGTGTGTGTGTGTGTGTGTGTGGGTGTGGGTGGTCATCCTCAGTTAAGAGTTCATGTAGCAGTAAAATACCATTCCAGTAATGATTACAAACAATAGATGATTGATTTTAGTACAGGAGCTTCAGCACTGTTTACACAGTTTCTACAGCAGTAGCCTGCTCTCAGAGTACGTTGGGAAGAGTCTTGAAAATCCCACAATCCAGATTCTACGTGTAAATGTTTTAAAATGCATTTAAATCACATTTTATTTGTCACATGCGCCGAATACAACTAAGAAATGCTTACTTACAAGCCCTTAACCAACAATGCAGTTCAATAAATAGAGTTAAGAAAATATTTACTAAATAAAATAAAGTAAAAAAATTAAATAAAATGTAACACAATAAAATAACAATAACGAGGCTATATACAGAGGGTACCGGTACCGAGTCAATGTGCGGCGGTACAGGTTGGTCGAGGTAATTTGTACATGTAGGTAGGCATCAAGTAATTATGCATAGATAATAAACAGCGAGTAGCAGCAGTGTAAATACACAGGGGGGTGGGCGGCAGGTAGCTTAGTGGTTAAGAGCGTTGTGCCAGTAACCGAAAGGTCGCTGGTTCTAATCCCCGAGCCGACTAGGTGAAAAATCTGTCGATGTGCCCTTGAGCAAGGCACTTAACCCTAATTGCTCCTGTAAGTCGCTCTGGATAAGAGCGTCTGCTAAATGACTAAAATGTCAATGTCAATGTAAATGTAAATAGTCCGGGTGGCCATTTTATTAATTGTTCAGCAGTCTTATTGCTTGGGGGTAGAAGCTGTTCAGGAGCCTTTTGGACCTAGACTTGGCGCTCCGGTACCACTTGCCGTGCGGTAGCAGAGAGAACAGTCTATGACTTGGGTGACTGGAGTCTTTGACAGACCAGCAGTAATCTCGAAGCACCACATTTTAATCATTCAGCAGACGCTCTTATCGAGAGCGACTTACAGTTAGTGCATTCATCTTAAGATAGCTAGGTGGGACAACCACATATCACAGTCATAGTAAGTATAATTTTTCGTCAATAAAGTAGCTATCAGCTAAGTCAGAGCTAGAAAGGGGGGGGAAAAAGTCAAGTGTGACACTTTTAGCAGCACAATGACAATTCAATATAATTCATTAGGGATCAATTACATGAATTAAAAGTACATTAAACATTTAGTTAAATCCTCTCCCCTACCCTGTTTGTGTGTCTACAGCAACAGGTGTATGTGAGCAGTGATGAGGGGGTGGCCCAGTTACCCCTGCAGCGGTGTGAGCTGTACGGGAGAGACTGTGCCGACTGCTGTCTGGCCAGAGACCCTTACTGTGCTTGGGACGGGAACACATGCAACCGATACTTCCCCAGCAACAAGAGGTAACTACTCTACTTCGGTTAAAAGCCCAACACAGCAATATTGAACTCCACAGCAAATCATTGTACTATTATTGTAGAAACCAATAACATCAAACATACAATTGACATAACAATAACATCAAACATTTAACTACTGTTAAAATTGTATTATATTACTGTGTGTGACAATAAAAGACACATTTATGTTGTAACAGAGATGTATAATAAAGAACTATTATATGTTGTTGTTTCTGTATTCAGTCGTGGTCAAAAGTTTTGAGAATGACACAAGTATTGGTCTTCACAAAGTTTGCTGCTTCAGTGTTTTTAGATATTTTTGTCAGATGTTACTATGGTATACTGAAGTATAATTACAAGCATTCCATAAGTGTCAAAGGCTTTTATTGACAATTACATTAAGTTTATGCAAAGAGTCAATATTTGCAGTGTTGACCCATCTTTTTCAAGACCTCTGCAATCCGCCCTGGCATGCTGTCAATTAACTTCTGGGCCACATCCTGACTGATGGCAGCCCATTCTTGCATAATCAATGCTTGGAGTTTGTCAGATTTTGTGGGGTTTTGTTTGTCCACGCGCCTCTTGAGGATCGACCACAAGTTCTCAATGGGATTAAAGTCTGGGGAGTTTCCTGGCCATGGACCCAAAATGTCGATGTTTTGTTCCCCCGAGCCACTTAGTTATCACTTTTGCCTTATGGCAAGGTGCTCCATCATGCTGGAAAAGGCATTGTTCGTCACCAAACTGTTCTTGGATGGTTGGGAGAAGTTGCTCTCGGAGGATGTGTTGGTACCATTCTTTATTCATGGCTGTGTTCTTAGGCAAAATTGTGAGTGAGCCCACTCCCTTGGCTGAGAAGCAACCCCACACATGAATGGTCTCAGGATGCTTTACTGTTGGCATGACACAGGACTGATGGTAGCGCTCACCTTGTCTTCTCCGGACAAGCTTTTTTCCGGATGCCCCAAACAATCGGAAAGGGGATTCATCAGAAAAAATGACTTTACCCCAGTCCTCAGCAGTCTAATCCCTGTACCTTTTGCAGAATATCAGTCTGTCCCTGATGTTTTTCCTGGCGAGAAGTGGCTTCTTTGCTGCCCTTCTTGATACCAGGCCATCCTCCAAAAGTCTTTGCCTCACTGTGCGTGCAGATGCACTCACACCTGCCTGCTGCCATTCCTGAGCAAGCTCTGCACTGGTGGTGCCCCGATCCCGCAGCTGAATCAACTTTAGGAGACGGCCCTGGCGCTTGCTGGACTTTCTTGGGCGCCCTGACGCCTTCTTCACAACAATTGAACCTCTCTCCTTGAAGTTCTTGATGATCAGATAAATGGTTGATTTAGGTGCAATCTTACTAGCAGCAATATCCTTTCCTGTGAAGCCCTTTTTGTGCAAAGCAATGATGATGGCACGTGTTTCCTTGCAGGTAACCATGGTTAACAGAGGAAGAACAATGATTTCAAGCACCACCCTCCTTTTAAAGCTTCCAGTCTGTTATTCTAACTCAATCAGCATGACAGAGTGATCTCCAGCCTTGTCCTTGTCAACACTCTCACCTGTGTTAACGAGAGAATCACTGACATGATGTCAGCTGGTCTTTTTGTGGCAGGGCTGAAATGCAGTGGAAATGTTTTTTGGGGATTCAATTCATTTTCATGGCAAAGAGGGACTTTGCAATTAATTGCAATTCATCTGATCACTCTTCATAACATTCTGGAGTATATGCAAATTGCCATCATAAAAACTGAGGCAGCAGACTTTATGAAAATTAGTATTTGTGTCATTCTCAAAACTTTTGACCACGACTGTAGATATGATTGTGTTGTATTGTATTGTGTTGTGTTGTATTGTGTTGTAATATTTTGTTAGCAATACCTAACGGGGTTCCAAACAAACAAACATACTGCCACAGTCTAAAGCTGTCAGAGTTATGACATGATTATGACATGATTATGACACCCAGGCTGTCTGCTATTTTATCTCCGCAGACGAGCTCGGCGCCAGGACGTGAAGCACGGGGATCCGATGAGCCAGTGTTACGACGTAGAAGACGGTAATTTTTGTGTGTGTACGGGGGTACAGTGAGCCAGTGTCATGATATAGGAGAAGTTACAAGTTATAGAAATGAACACTAAATGTTTATATGTCTGTCTATGATATGTATATCTCTGGTTGCAGCTAACGCCAGCCAGTCAGCCAGCCTCAGTTCAGTAGGTAACTTAACTAATATTAACTTAGCTCATAATACAGTATATTAGTTTAAACTATGTTGCAGCGCCAGCCAACCTCATTTCACTAGGCCTCTATGACCATGTCTGATGTAAGTCATCTCAGTTCACTAGGCCTCTATGACCATGTCTGATGTAAGTCATCTCAGTTCACTAGGCCTCTATGACCATGTCTGATGTAAGTCATCTCAGTTCACTAGGCCTCTATGACCATGTCTGATGTAACTCATCTCAGTTCACATAGCTTTTCATCTTAGCTCATGATACTGTATATTAGTTCAGTCAGTTGCAGCGCCAGCCTCACTCCAGTCCAGTATGATCACGCCTGCTGATTTAACTTGTCTCGTGCTACCAGACCAGCTGTAAATGTATTAGTTCACTCTCTGGGCTCCTGAGTGGCGCAGTGGTCTAAGGCACTGCATCGCAGTGCTAACTGTGCCACTAGAGATCCTGGTTCGAATCCAGGCTCTGTCGCAGCCGGCCGCGACGGGGAGACTCATGGGGCGGCGCACAATTGGCCCAGCATGTCCAGGGTAGGGGAGGGAATGGCCGGCAGGGATGTAGCTCAGTTGATAGAGCATGGCGTTTGCAACGCCAGGGTTGTGGGTTCGATTCCCACGGGGGGCCAGTATAAAAAAAAAAATGTATTTACTAACTGTAAGTCGCTCTGGATAAGAGCGTCTGCTAAATGACTAAAATGTAAATGTCTGTAGCAGCCAGCTTCAGTATGACCCAATGGTATTTCCATGTCCTAAATCTGATCTCATGTTAGTGTGCCCCCTAGTGGACAGCACTGAGAACTAAAGTCTCGCATAATTGGTCAGATGCTCGATTAAAGTTCTTGGTCCAAGCGTGGTAAGAGAAGAGCTAGAACGACGATCGGAACCTGGGAAAAAAAGAGCTTTGAAAGATACTGATACCTGTGAAATCGTGATTTGTCCAAAGCACCGGAAACTAATGTGGCTCGTTATCTTACGCGTCCCGTTGTATCATGACAAATCTACGGTACCCTTTATGTTTAAATACACATCCTGCTCTTTAGCATTTGACCTTTCAGTCATTTAGCAGACACTCTTATCCAGAGCCACTTACAATGGAATCTTGGAAACCAAACCTTTATGAATGTGACTACAGCTATAGGATCTTAATTTGATCACCCTGTGGCAGGATAACTAAATATTGTAGTGTATTTTTGGTTTAAAAAGTCTTCTGAAGTTTGTCATTTACATTTACATCTACATTTTAGTCATTTAGCAGACGCTCTTATCCAGAGCGACTTACAGCATTTCTACTTTGAAATGTCAGGCTTGATTTACCCTAACGAAAAACGGATCAACCCCTACAAAAATATAAATGTATTGTAACACACATAATAATTCACATTTCCTGTTGCTGCAGGATTATTTTCCTTCTGTAGCAAACTGGCTCAAATTAAGATCCTACATCTGTACTACAAAACACTCATCATCCTGTTCTTTGCAGGTTCTGAGTCGGTGGAGGTGAAGGTGGTCTACGGAGTGGAGAGCAGCTCAACCTTCCTAGAGTGTGTGCCCAGGTCCCAGCTGGCGACGGTCAAGTGGACAGTGCAGGCACCACAGGCTCACACCAGCAGAGAGGTGAGAGACGGACATCTCTGTCATGTTAGCTCTTTGTTAACTGGCCTGGGGCCTAACACACAAACTGACATAGCATAACATCTTGATCAACTCACCATCTGTGCCGAACAAAAGAACAATACAGCACATGTTTATTGATCACTCATTTTAACCGAATCAGTAACCACGTTTCCATCTACAGTTTTAATGCAAGTAAAGTCATACCGTATAAAAATAAAAAAATGAACGACAGCTGAGATGGTCGTTTCTAGTACAAGTTTATACACTGAGTGTACAAAACATTAGGAACACCTGCTCTTTCCATGAAATAGACTGACCAGGTGAAAGCTATGATCCCTTATTGATGTCATTTGTTAAATCCACGTCAATCAATGTGTATGAAGGGGAGGAGACTTGAGAAAATTGAGACATCGATTGTGTGTGTGCCATTCAGAGGGTGAATGGGCAAGACACAATATTTAAGTGCTTTTGAAAGGGGTATGGTAGTAGGTGCCAGCCGCAACGGTTTGAGTGTGTCAAGAACTGTAACGCTGCTGGGTTTTTCCCGCTCAACAGTTTCCAGTGTGTATCAAGAATGGTCCACCACCCAAAGGACATCCAGTCAACTTGACACAACTGTGGGAAGCATTGGAGTCAACATGGGGCCAGCATCCCTTTGGAACGCTTTCAACATCTTGTAGAGTCGATGCCCCGATAAACTGAGGCTGTTCTGAGGGCAAAAGCGGGGGTGCAACTCAATATTAGGAAGGTGCCTTGTTCGTTTGACATGGTGGAATCTCTTTGTGTCTGTAAAATGTATTATGCGAGAAATGGTGGTGGAGGTAAACTTGGAGTCACGTGATGATATGGTGTGTGGTCCCCCCTCTACAGCTCGTCAGGAAACCAGGCAGTTTACTAGGCTACAGATGAAATCAATGATGATGAACGTCACAGGGGGGTGAAAGTTCACAGTGACCTTGATGCTGCTTTCCATTCAATATCAAGGGTCTTATTCTGGTGACATGATAATCGACGCTTGACTGCCATTATGACAAATAAACATATTCGCATCCATAATAATCTCATCATGTAGACTGGCCTACCTTCACAGCTTACCCGCACTGTATCTGCGAGCGGTTGGCTAGAGCGGACGTGCCAAGACCAGAGTAGACAAATTTGCTATTTAACGCAAACGGTTTTTTTGTGACCAAACTATCGGTAGGCTTGAAAATGCGATGGAAACACATTGAACTTTAGATTTTTATTCGGTAGGTGAAAACTTAAGCGAAATAGTACATGATGTTTGCGCTACATCACCACACACTGACTTTTATCTGCAACAAACTCCTTTTTGGTGGAAACACACCACTGGTGGGAAAATTGACATATTTTCTTTCTGCAGATTTTTTGAATATCCTCATGAAAATCTGTGTCCAATTGGATGGAAAGCTAGCTATTGACTAATATTTATCTAATAATGAACCTTTTGCCTTCTCTTGTCCTTGTCCAGCTGTCCCAGAGTAAGGAGCGTATGGTCCAGATGAAGCGGGGTCTCCTGGTGCAGCGACTGGAGCCCGGGGACGCTGGCCTCTACAGCTGTACCACCCTGGAGCACTCCTTCTCCCAGGTCCTGGCCCGCTACAACCTCCAGGTCATACCCCAGCAGAGCATGACAGCATCCCAGGCCAGGGCAGCTGATCCTGGGGCTGGGCGAGCAGGGCTGAGGGGGGGCCCTGGAGGTCCTGGGACTCAGCTCTTCAGGAACTATAAGGACCTGCACACGATGGGCGCGGCTAGCATGAGCGTGGACGAGTACTGTGAGCAGCTGTGGTACCGGGAGAAGAAGAAGCAGCAGAAGCTACGCCAGCTAAAGTGGAAACAGACCCAAGTGGACAACCGCAAGGCCAGGGTGCGACGGCACGGCTCCGCTGAGGACATCGCAATACAATGACCTGATGGGGATGGACAGAGACTTTTGGATTGCGTCTTAAATGTCACCCTAATTTCTATAGAGTGCACTGCTTTTTTTACCAGGGCCCATAGACCAAAAGTAGTGCACTTTTAAGGGAATAGGGGACAATTGTAGATGTATCTCTGGAGATGAAGGGAATGTATGCAACAGTCCTCAGGGGTAGTGCTATACATGAGCACACCCTTGCTTTGCTTTGAACAGATATGTACGCTTAGAATTATTATCAGTCAGTTAACCTTAGGTCCATAGAAGTATACTTTTGATATAAATGTCCTAGATGTATATTCCTCCTCAATTGTGATCCTTGGTCCCCTGTATTCTGTGTAGACAGGATAGTTGATCGTTATTTTTGTGCCCGGAATGACCGTTAAAGTTTATTATTGCTCTCTGGACTGGTAGGTTTGTTTACTGAATAAAAGCAGGCCAGACCGTTCTCCGCCACACATGTTGGGGGCAAATACACTGTCACAATCACTACAACCACAGGACAGGTGTCCCGGAACTACAACCACAGTTGTCCTGGAGCTACAACCACAGTTGTCCCAAAACTACAACCACAGTTTGGTCCCGGAACTACAACCACAGTGTCCCAGAACTACACCACATTGGTCCCAAAAAGCTACAACACAGTTTGTCCCTCCGGAACTCAACCACAGTATGTCCAACTCACAACCAAGCTGTCCTGGAACTACAACCACAGGTGTCCCCAGAACTACAAATCCAGGTTGTCCGAAGCGGACAACCACAGGTTTCCCTGACTACAACCACAGGTGTCCCAGAACTACAACCACAGGTGTCCCGAACTGCAACCACAGGTGTCCCGGAACATCAACCACATGTTTCCCCCGAACTACAATACAACCACAGGTGTCCCAACTGCAACCACTTGTGTCCCAAACTACAACCACAGGTGTCCCAGAACTACATCCACAGGTGGCCCGAACTACAACCACATGGTCCGACCTACAACCACAGTTAACAGTGTGTCCTGGACTTACAACCACAGTGTCCCAGAACGAACACACACGTGTCCTGAACTACAACCACAGGTGTCCAGAACTCACCACAGGTGTCCCAGAACTACAACCACAGTTGTCCCAGAACTACAACCACAGGTGTCCCGGAACTACAACCACAGGTGTCCCGGAACTACAACCACAGGTGTCCCAGAACTACAACCACAGGTGTCCCAGAACTACAACCACAGTGTTCCCGGAACTACAACCACAGGGGTCCCAGAACTACAGATAAGAGCTGCTGATCTGTTACACAACAAGGATGTTCTCTCCATGTTGTTCCTTCCTTCCTGGAACAGTGAAGAGGAGAACAATGTCTTTAAGATGGTTTTGCTGGTCCTGTGGACAATAACACTGAAACGTGCTTTACGTTTACAGCCCATGGAGTAGTGCTGAGCGATTAGTGCTTTTTGAGGTCGTTTTGGTCCGATTATAAAAAAAGAATCACGGATTTCGGTTTTGAGAATTTTTTAAAACATGAAATGTACTATGAAATAATGACGTTACAATGATTTTAGAGCTTTTTAATGGAAATTCCAAAGCCAAAAATAGTGAACATTCAATTGCCAAAACATTGAAAATATTCCATTGTCTCTGTCAGGTCCACATTGGGTAGACATCAATAGAAATATAGGAAATGACTATGAAATATAACATATTTCATTTGTGTATATTACTTAGTTTTAATCTGATTACTTTATTATTTTTCATTCCTTAAAGTCATCATCTCATCTCTGCTCAGGCAGTAGCAGTCAGCCAGCCAGGTCATCTAACGTTATGTGCTCCCCATACTGTACTGTCTTTAGTCCTCCTATTTAGCTAGCCTGCCTAAGTATGCTGCAGAGCTGTCTGACGAAATCATTTTACTAGTTCTTCAAATTAGATAAGATATACTTTCATGGGATTCATTGTCCAAAAGGTGGGGAGGCAGGCGACAGGCTTAGGTCCAAAATAAGCCCAAAGAAACGCATTGGGCTTATCTTGGGCAGATTTTGGTGAGAGTGAAACCTCTCGCTTCACCTGTTCTTCTCTGATCCGTCTCTGAGACGGAAATAACTGGCGCAGTGGATTATGGTCAATGCAGTTAATTACGACGTTTCTGCGCTGAACTAGGTTGAATTTTTGCTTAATGTAACTACAACTCCCTTCAGCCCAGCTGAATCTTGACTTGATTTCTCAGATTTCTCTCGTGAATGATTTGATTTAACTCTAGAGAAACAGTGCATTGGGCTCACAAAAAAATATGAGCTAAATGGAATTCAAGTAATTGAACCGACTTTGGCCAATTAGTTGTTAAATAACCGAAACCCCCCAGAAACGTCAGTAAAATCGCTTAGCACTACCACTGAGGTTGGTCTAGCAGTAGTGCTGCCTTCTTCAGACCACATGTTGCCCCTGAAGACTACGGTTCAAACCCCCACTCCATCTCTTATAAACGATCATTCCCTCTCTCTCCCTGAGGTCTGTGTCATTCCATGAGAATATCAAACCACTCTCTCTTTCTCTTTTCTCTCTGTCATCAGCCTATGTCTATCTCTCTCTCTCTCTCTCTCTCTCTCTCTCTCTCTCTCTCTGTTTATCCGTCGCTATATAAAAACAAATAAAACATAGGAAAATGGATCTACTAAAAAAAGATTTAGGCTACCATTAGTAGATAAAAGCCACAAGGCACGTCATCCTGTAACGATGAAGCTGCATAGTGGTTGTATAGTCAGTCTGTCAGACAGAGCTGTACAACAGTGTGATGTGGTCGGTGCCTTTCATCTTCCTCAGTGCCCCTTGCTATATCTTCAGACACCCTCAGCAATAAATGTTAACATATTATTTGCGCTTACCATATCGTCATGACAGCATGGAAATATGCTGTATGTACAGTATGTAATGCGATGCACAGCATATCAATTGCAAAGGTATATTGTAGGGTCACTCACCTGCGTATGGACTTAGTTTTTTCAAACACAAATCTATTGTTTTTATTAAGAAAAATCCTACAATGTACAACATTTGGGAGATACTTTTTTTGTGTGTGTGTTTGGTTTTCACTTGTTAATCAAAACTCTGTTATATAACCGTACAGGTAATACATTCACACTGTACACGCTTAGAAAAAAGGGTTGCAAAAGGGTTCTTCAGCTGTCCCTATAGGAGAACCCTTTTTGGTTCCAGGTAGAACCCTTTTGGCTTCCATGTAGAACCCTCTATGGAAAGGGTTCTACATGGAACCCCAAAGAGTTCTACCTGGAACCAAAAAGGGTTATACAAAGGGTTATCCTATGGGGATAGCCGAAGGACCATTTTAGGTTCTAGATAGCACCTTTTTTTTCTAAGAGTGTACCCTATACACTTTTGACATAAAATCTGTGGAATATCACACAGTATTCTATGGTTTTGGATGAAGTGAAGATACACGTTTTTCATATCTTAGAGGAATGAGAAAAACAGCCTAATGAGAAAAAGACGTTGAAAAGACGTATTTGCGGTTGAAAATCATGATGAATAAGAGGGGGGACCTGAAACACACGAAGGAGGTCCAGCTCACCTTAGACTTCACTCCTGGTAATCATCACAGATCTCAGAATTTAACAGTAGTGTGACCGACTGGCTATCAAACCCTAGGGCGGTAGATTCACTGAACATAGAAAGAAATATGTATTTTCAACATCTTGTGCTCACTGTGAATGGACACGTTCAACTCTGTACCGACAGTGTAACTTGTTGTTTATCATACAGTTATCGCCATCTAGTGTTGGTTTTTGTACACTACACAAGTGAGTTGCGGTAGACCACATGTTTTATTATACAGTACAGTCATTATTTAAGCAAGGTTGCAGTCTATTTATCATATTTATATGTTCTATACACAGACTTTCTGTATAAATCAATACTGGAAATCAGTTTCAGTGAAGCACCCTGTTTAATATTCATTATTTACACGTCACAGTAGATAATGGTTTGGTGATGCATTAGAATAGAATGCATCATAATTTCATACGTCATAATGCTTCGCTTTATGAGGTAAGCCTGGTGTGTTTATAAGGAAAGATTGATTCCTGAATTTGGACACATTACCGTTCTCTTTATGAGATACTGTAGGTCTACACATTGCTGAGCTAAATAACTGCAAGTATGACTATAATGTATAAAATCCACCCATTCACAGAGAACCAACTGATTAGGGGAACATTAATTTGTGCTGCCAGATTCTGAAGAGATATCTGAATGTAACCCATGACGTATATAAACTCTGGATGACTGACAGCCGCAGGGGGCTCTTTATTGAAGCCACTTCACAGCCATCTTGGTTCTCCTCCTCCGTTGTAAAAAAGATTTTGGAAGCTATCGAAATGCATTTATTAATGTCTACATTAGTTTTTTACACGTTTATTCCATTAGACACTTTAAAGCATACTTTTAAAATATATATTATGTGAGCTAAACATTCAATGAAAAAATATGTCCTTGTCCTTGAAACATTCAATTGAAGTGCTGTAGAATTCCATTAATTTTTATGGAGAACTGCTCCTACTGTGGATTGCCAATATGGCCAATGCAGAGCATCAACAATCCAGGGTTTAAATACATCATTGAATGTAACCTACATGATCCCTCTGACACATATGTGCATATCATGATGACTAACAATTTATAAAATTAATTAAAACATGTTTTACACGATTGTGTAACGAGTGTCAGTGTAATGCGGTGGATCGAAGTCAGGCGCAGGACACAGAACTCGAAGAAACGTACTTTACTGAACATGAGTAAAGAAAACAACACAGCAATACCTCCACACAGGAAGGAACTAACCCGCTCACCAACGACACACAAAACGAAAAAACAACCACGCACAAAACACATTGGGAGCCACTGGGTTAAATAGGAAGGTGTGATTAATTAAATGGGCAACAGGTGTGTGACATAGACAACAGGTGCAACATAGAAACAAATAACCTAGATCGGCAGTAGCTAGTATTCCGGTGACGATGAACGCCGCAGCCTGCCCGAGCAAGTAAGAGGGGCAGCCTCGGCAGAATCCGTGACAGTACCCCTCCCCTGACGCGCGGCTCCAGCCGTGCGTCGACACCGGCCTCGGGGACGGTCAGGAGGACGCGGCGC